AGATAGATAGATAGATAGATAGATAGATAGATAGATAGATAGATAGATAGATAGATAGATAGATAGGTAGATTCTATTTTATTTTGCTGAGTAACAATTCCCCATTCTCCACGATGGAGCAGCACAACCGGTCTTTTCCTCTCTCCTTTTTCCTTTTCTCCCCCCCAGTTCACAGGGGCCGAATGCCAACCTCTTCCGTGGCCAAACAGCCATGGCTCCGGCCTCGCTGCGCGGCGGTTATTTCCAGCTCTCAGGCCGCACAGCTGTGAGGGGAAGGGGGACAGTCTGTCTCTGTCGGTGGAGGGGAGGCGAAGTTGAACTCAACTTAGCAACAGCAGCGCTAAGGTCAGCGAGGACAACACAGACGACAGTCGGCAATGGAAGGCAATGAGACAGAGGGCCCCCACCCCCACCCCCACCCCCACCCCCCCCCCTCCCTCTCCGGTTGCCATGAGGACGTCTCTGTCTTGCGTTCGGCTGTGAAATATGGGGGCTTTTTCGGGGGCACGTGACCACCCATTACAAGCGTGACACATACTTCTCGGCTGATTTCCCTCTCAGATTAAAATTGTGATGAGTGTAGAGGGCTATACGTATATCTGTCCAAGTCAGAACGAACTGAGAAAAGATGAACGAGTGGGGAACCTGAATACCAAATTTAAAATGTGGGATCAATAAAGAATTCTATTCTATTCTAAAATGTACAATTAGGAAGTCCTAATGTGTTCAACTATCAATTAGAGGTGCTTAACTGTTCGTAAGTGTGAGTTCTGTGAGTTTTTACTTGTTCCCTAACACTTCCTATAGAGGATTTTAAAAAAAGGAAAAAAGCCATCATGCTTCATTATATGCCTTAAAATGTTTATTTTTGTATGGAAAGAATGTGACATCTGTAAAGTTGTAGTCCGTGGTATCATAAAAGTAAGTATTTTGAGTGTTTGGGGAACAGAGTTACAACTTGAGAGTGCTTTGCTTAATTTGACAGATATCTGAGACCTGTTGCATCATCATGTGTCTCTCTATTTCTACATTCATGTAAAAATTAGGATTTTTTTTTTGTTGAAGAGACAAACAAAGATTTATATTTGTATCCACGAATCTGTCTTTTCTTGGGCTGGACTTTTTAAAAGCTTCACTTTGCTTTTCAGCATATAGAATTGGAGTGTTCTTTGTAAAGAAAAAAACTAAAAAAAAACTTTTTACATCTAAAAAGTGTGTGTATAAAAAATGTTAACAGAAAAAACTTTATTATTTACCTGAAAATACCATTCTTTTATTTATTTTTTACATGTATTTTCACACAAAATCCGAAAATTTTAAATGGTCACTGTCAATTAGGGGAAAGTTTGCAACCAGCACCACATTCCTTCATTTCCTCTGACCCTGACACCCCGGACGGGGCCCACAGACGGAGCTAGTCGCCATTAGGTAACTAAATAAGCTAACATGCCTGTTTCTGTGGACTGTGGCAAGAGGGGACACACAAAACACGCGAACCCCACCCCCCAGAAAGCCCCCCCTCATAGGAAAAGGGAACCTCCCCGGAATAAGTCCACGGTGCCAAAAACTCCACCACCGAACAGCCCCGCTCTCCAAATATGATTCAAATCAGCCTTAATGAAACCAAAGTTGAGTAAGTAAAAAAGAAATCTACATTAAATGCACTAAAATCCGAAACGCCTAACCAAAACTTTTGGTACAACGGCCAGTAAAAGCGCCGTCCCTGTTTTTTGTCCTTCTACGGTGTGAGCGGAAGTCTGCGGCCTGCCTCTGCGCCACACCGCCACCGTGCGTCCAAACGCCAGCGGTGCAACGAAGTGTTATGTCATTACGCATGCGCACACCGCGCCTCGTTTGACCGGGGAAGGCCGGCTGATTGAACGGGTGTCCGTTATAAAGGAGCTCGTGCTTTATTGCTGCTGTTTTGGGCCTTAATCTAGTCAAACGAGCAATCTTCCAAAAGGTAGAAAAAGTCGAGGAGGACGACGGGTGCGTGACTCCTCCTGGAGGCGCTGACCATGGTGCTGACCTCCCCTCATTTTTTCTTTTTTTTTTTTACAAAGCCAGTGTTCTATGTTTTTGTAATCTAGAGTAACAGATTGCATTTTTGAAGGGTGCCACGTCATTCAACTCTTTATTTTGGAGTGAGGGATTTAAATGAAAATCTTTGTGTGTGTTTTTTTTTAAATAAACAAAAATAAATCAATAGAATATGTGGAATAAGGCTCATTTGGTTGTCAGCCAGGAACTCGAAACAACCAGATGTTCGGATGCTGCTGAAATAGGGACCTGGCTGTTGCATCAGATCTGTCAGATGACGGTGGGATGGGAAATCAGTGATGGTTATTACGCCATCTAAAACCAGAAATGGAATCCATCGCACACGTGGTTCATGAAATCAGATCCATTCTGAACGAGATCTGCTGACTCGGGTCGAATGGTGACGCTCATTTTAAGGCTCATTTGGGCCAAAATAGGGATTTTTTGGGGAAAAAAATTGGGAAACAGCTCGTGATTTCCATCTGAAACCACTTTTTCTGTGCCGGGGACCCTGGCAACCCCCTGCGCTCTTGCATCATTCGCTCCCGTTACGAATCCACCGGCTTTTTGTGCGCATGTTCACTGGCTTTTTTTTCTTTTTTTTTGGCGTCGTCCGGCACTCCTTATTGGCTGTGCGCTCCCCCCCCCCCTCTTTTACGCGAGACCAGCCCTCTCTCTGCTCAAGGGGGAGCGCAAAAGAAGAGGCGTGCGCCTTTTGCGTCTGCGTCCACTCAGTCACCCCCACGGACTTTAGGCTGCCCACGTAAAGATGGAGAAGAAGAGCGAGATCAACGGGCACGCCGTGCCCGGCTCGGCCTCCACCGATCTGATGGTGGAGCAGCAGCAGCAGCACCTCCACCCGAGGGGGGGCCTCGGTGGGAGGCTGGCGGGGTTCCTGCGGAGGAACCTGCTGGTGATCCTCACCGTCTCCGGGGTGCTGGTGGGCGTGGGGCTGGGCATGGTGGTCCGCAGCCTCGGCCTGACCAGGGCGCAGATGACCTACTTCGCCTTCCCGGGGGAGATGCTCCTCCGGATGCTGAAGATGATCATCCTGCCGCTGGTGGTGTGCAGCCTGGTGTCCGGCGCCGCCAGCCTGGACACCCGCTCCCTGGGCAAGCTGGGCGGGGTGGCGGTCGCCTACTTCCTGGTGACCACGCTGATCGCCTCGGGCATCGGCGTGGCCCTGGCCTTCATCATCCGACCCGGGGTGGGCGCCGGAGCCCTCAACACCAACGCGCTGGGGCTGGAGAGCGTGAGCGCCAACAAGGAGACCGCCGACTCCTTCCTGGATCTGGCCAGGTACCTTTTTCGTGACCCCTTAACATTAAAAAAAAAGGGCTTGGGGACTCTTTGGCGAACGGCTGTGCGTCTTTACGCACACCCCCACCAAGTCATTTTCGGGGTTTTTTCCCCCCCCCCACATCCCTCCACCTCCCCCCCCCCAAGTCATCTTGCCACCAGCAAAGAGTTTATCTGTGTATTAGAGTCTAGATCAATACGCTGAAGGCTGCAGGGGGAGATTGAAGGTGGAGCGGCTTTAAAGCCAAAGGTGATCCGGTCAGTGTCGGTCTGAGCCACCCCCCCCCCCATTTACCACAGGTCAGACTACCCTCCAGGTCAGTCTGCAAACACCGATTTATTTGCTTAAGTCAGCTCGTCCCCTAACAGCACGAGGCCTGGTTTAATCTGAGGAATCCAGGTGATTCCTGGTTAATCATTCATTCACCGAACCCAGATATCCATATTTGTTTAACCCTTAAAAGAAGTCCTGGTTTGGAGTGGAGTCAAGACTGCACTTCGCTCAAAGTTTTAGTTTCGCATGTCTCGCGGGCTTCCTCCAGGTGTGTGTGTGGCTCAGTCAATAGTTTGAAAGTCCATTTGTCTTTCCTACAAGAAGCAGATAGAATTAATAGCAGTACTTTGTTAGGAAACTGGATTAAACATAGTTTCAAACCAGAGTCTGAGTGAGTTTCTACCCACTTGAGGGATTTTTTGGTGAATTTTTTTGGTGGTTGCTTCCACTTTTAGGAGGGAGTCTTATCATCCACTTGTAGCTGATGTCCACACACACTTTTGGATAGCCCCAAGCCCCTTTTTAGGTGTCTAACAGCCTGCAAACAGAAGTGGAAAATAGCAATTTTTCGACGCAGTCAAAGGTGTCTTAGTCTGTCTTAGAGGGAGGTTTTTCTATTGGTCAAAGAGCTCTTTTTTTCTATTAATCCTAGCCAATAGTTTTAAAAAAATACCTGAGTTTCTCCACAGCCTGAGCTCAAATGCGCTGGCATGCTGGGTGGCCTTCAGCGCTCCTAATAATAAGTTCTCACAGTGTTAGGGGAAGCCGGCAGCTGTTCAAAGTAAGCGGGGGTGTATTTTGAGAAGTGGGAAGAGGTGGACGGATAAGCGGTCACAGTTTGGACGCTGCTGTTCTCAGCACTTCTCCCTCTATCACAACAGCGGCCGGGAATTCTCAGACCCTTTTGACGGAATCAAAATCTAACTGGACTGACCAGCACAGGTCCACCGGTCACTCTCTCAGCAACTGAAGAAGGGTTTTGCAGAAGAACTGGAAATTATATTAATCCATAATTTCCTTTGAAGTGTCCCGGTGTTGCTCCTGTATCTCCATCACTATATAAGATATCAAATCTAGCTCCCAAGTGGCATTAGCAAAAAAAGTTTTTCTTTCATTAAAGCTTAGCGTCGTGGAAAAAGTCTTTCAATTTACCAGGCAGGGTAATGGCATCATGAATGTGGAAAAATTCCACGTCTAAACACATTGAGAAGCATATATCCAAATCAAGTAAGTCCAAATCAAGAGTAAATCTGAATAATGAAAAACGACTGAGTTGGTAAATAAAACCATTTTGCCTGTTCTTAGCTTGCGAGGTTCACAGAATAACTTCAGGTAAGAGTCTTTAATCGGGATATTGGTCTGTTAAGTCACCGCTTAAAAAAAAATCTGTCTTCAAAAAGCAGTCAGCTTTGAAGGTTCCAGATTCCACTCGCAGTCATGTGACGGGAGGATGGCAGACCTTCACGGAATGCTTGAGGCGCCTTGAATAACTAAGAATTTCTGCAGAAGAGTAGCATTTGGAAAGAAAAAAAGCAATAAGAGGGACATCAGCTGAAACAGCCTTCAGCCCTGAACTGAGGGGGCAAAGGGGACGGGGGTCGTTAGGCTAAGAGCTCAAACACTTGGCTGTCGTCTGCCCATGGGAATAAATGAGAGCAAAGTCTGTATTTCTTTGCACAATACGGCGTAACCCCAGAGGATAAAGTTACAACAAACACTCTAATACATACAGAGGGCCCGTCGACTTTCGGTAATCCCCGTACGATTATCTTACAGTGCTGAAAGCAAACTCAGTATGAAGCCTCCATTGTCCTCTTGTTAGGAAATCCATTTTTACTCTTTTTTTTTTAGTTACCAAAAGGATAATGGATGATAGTGGACTGTCTTTTTTTGTATAAGTAAATGATTACTAGATTTATAATGTGAATGATGAACAGATTTCTAATGTCCCATCATGGAAAAGGAGCCAAACAAAAACGATAAAAAAATAAATCTGGCTCATTTTGTGTTGTTTGAAATTACAACTGCAGCTAAACATGTTTTTTTCTGGAAGTTCCTCCTATCTGGTTTGAGCACTGACCTGCTTATGGTTATAAACAAATGACGCAAGTGAAATTCAAACATGGATTTATGTCCATTTTTGGACATTTACTGTCCTCAAAGTTTGTACTTTTGTGTCCAAAAACATATGTGACTTCCACTGGGTTATGTAAAACTAAAAATGTGAGAACCACATCATTCAAGGAACATTTTAGGAATAAAAACAAAACCAAAAAACGAACACAGACGTGGATAACGGAGCTCTCCTGTTTTGGAAACTTTGATCAAATAATCCTTACTGTGTTTTGATCTGATTTGTTTCTCTCTTCCTTAACAGGAATTTATTTCCAGCAAACCTGGTGGCTGCTGCTTTCCGTTCGGTGAGTTTTCTCTCGTTCTGTTTAGTTCATTTCGTGGGCTTTGTGCTTATTGTTCATCAGAATTTATTTCTCTTACCACGCGGATGCCCCCCCCCCCCCCAGGTCCGTTTACTGGGGCTGTAAATCCAGGCTCACAGTTCCTCCTCCTGCTCGGCACAAAGGCTGCCGCTCTCCCCTTTTTTGCACCAATGCCTTCTTTTTCTTGTCCCAAGCCTGCCGTTGCCATGGCGAAACTATTCCATTCCAGCAAGCTTAGCAACCCATCTCGGCCTTGCGACTCTCGAACAGGACCTGCTCCACTTCTTAGAATCCACGATCCTTTAAAGCTAAAATAGGAACCAATAAAGCCCAGAAGTTGGGGTTTGCAGAGATACAACACACCAAACAGATGTTACACACTTGTTGCACACTTTTTTAAATCAGGCCATTTCTGTTTAAATCCATTTTAGAGACATTTGTCGAGTCACCAACTCACAAACTAGTTTCTTTTCATAGACAGAGAGGTGGACTTTTAATGTATATTTCGATGTATGCATAGTTTCAATTAAGTCCAGAAAATAAAACCCACCAACTGCTTGTCCCCCCCCCACACACACACGCTGTGGAAACTGTGCTGGAGCTCCGGTGGAAGTGGTCCAACCCTGGATTAAACTAAGGAAGCAAAGGAGAGGCTAGATTTGCACAAAATGACAAGCGGCTAGATTTTAAACAGACAGCGAGAAGGATTACGTTTTAGTTAATGAGAATGGATGAGTTGCTGGTTTTGTCTTTTTGTTCGTCAGGAAATATCTCAGAATTTGGAGTCCTGGGGCTCTTTAAAGGTACTAATCCTTAAATAGGTGCACACACTGCATTACTTACAAGACTTTTACTCAACTAAAATCACTACTGCTTATCAAACTGATAGGAAAACACCATGGTTAGGCCTTAATGGAACAATACAAAAAAACTTCAATAACCTGTACTAGAATATATTACCTTTATTTACTTTTTCTGATTTACTTGAGGTTAACTGAAAGTTTTATTTGTAAACTTCTTTATGATTCACATGTGTGTAAAAATCTACAAATATGTATTCGTAGCACCAGCATAAAAAAGAAGAAGAAGAAGAAACTCCCAAACATTTTCTTCCACGCTTCTTTTCATTTTTTGCTTCAGTTCATTCAGGTTTCTGGGCATTTGTTGATATGCAGTTCCCTTATGGTTCCACCGGTCATTTAATTTGGGGTTATGTCTTTACTTTCGCAGGCTCATTTAATCATTTTATTTGTTTATTTTTTGTTTTTTTTTGCAGCCTTTCTGTTTTACAGTGGCTGTTGTGCTTTGAGTCGTCGTCCTCCGTGTCAGCGTGTAGCCGTCAGACAGATGACCCCACATTTTTTACCCCAGAATACTTTGGTATACTGAGGATTTAATTGTTGAATCTATGTCACACAGTGTCTGGGTCACCAGGCTGAGGCCAGAACAATCGGCCCTCCACCACCGTGCCTGACAGCTTTTATGAGGGGTTTTACTCAGCTGGGAATGAAGCCATTTCCTTTTCTATTAACAAAACTCATCTATCATTCTGCTCCACCAACTTGTTTCTTAAGTAACTTTTTTTTTTTTTTCCTGTTCAAATATCACGTTATGACAGTTTCCGTTGCTGCTCAAGAGTGCACCCCAAATAAAATTTCGGAGTCATCTATCTTTTAAACTTTGACATGTGTTATAACTTTGTTATAACTGCTGTATAACATAGCTGGTCCTGTCCGAACTTTGCATTTGCATGTATGTAGTCATTTCATTGAATGACGATACAAATTGGATACATTTGCTTTACTTTATGTTACAGTATGCCACCGACTACAAAATGGTTGCCATGGGAAACAACACTAACGGAACGACGCTTTACCAAAAGGTATGTTTAAATAAAAGGTGCTACATGTGTATGTTTACAATGTTTATACGGGGTTGTACAAAAGTCTATGTTCTTATAGTTTTGATTAAAAAAACGTAATAAATTATTTAATCTTTGCTTGGAAATGAAACAGTTATCTGTGTCAAATTAAAAACACGAGGTTAAGCTGCTGTTTTGAGCTCTTTGTGAGAACGCGAGTCAGCCATGGGTGCAAACTCACTGAATAAGCACTACGTGCAAGACCAGTGGAGTACTTGGTTTAGGGTGAATCGGTTCAAGGTTGATGGTGAAATGTTGGTATTTCTGAGTGGCTGAACAGTGCAGTCACTCTGAATGAGAGACAGTGACTTATTTCTAGCTCAAGTCATTCATTTTAATGTCTGGATTCTGTATTATTTTAGAGGTCCACTGATCCCCAGTGAGAATTAGAAAAATAGAAGTGTAGCTTAGTTAATTTATTGTATTGGAAATCTTTTTTTCATGGAGGCCCAGTTTGATTTTTACAAAGCTCAACAGCTCTAAAAGACAGGTGAGACAAGCCAATTGTGTATTCTTTGAAAAAACACGGGCTCCTTTTAATGGTTACAAGTTATGCTTTTGCAAAGCGTGGACAATTGTGAAAGGGCAAGACCAAAGTATGAGCCAAGCTAATTTTGAAAAGACAAATATGATTATGCTTTTAAAATAAACACTGTAAAAGTGTTATACTTAAAGGGAAATGCTCATTTATATTCGGTAATGGTTTTAGGTTATTGTTTTTTAACCATAAACTTGGAGGAGATCTACCAGAGTAAACCACAGCTTGTTCCAAATAAAAGTGCAAATGTCCATGCTCAATCATATTTAGGCTAGCATGGCACCTTCTTAAAATTGGAATATTTTGAACGAAAAGTGGAGAAATGTATCATAGTATGTCACAATACCGTCTTGAAAAGTAGAACAGGGACAAACTTCCATGCTGCATTGGTTTTGTCCTACTTTCAAAACAAAAGCGATGATACGGGCAAAGCTTATGCTAATTGAGGCTGCAACTGCTAAATAGTCAGGTCACATGACTTCCCATGATACTGGCTTTCACTTGCTTGCTAAAACTTTTCATATTTGAAATTGTCTACAGTTTCAATTTGGAATGAGTTGGAGTCTGATAGCATGATGCTGAGCACACACCCACAAACATATGAAGGTGCTATTCCTCCTCCCACAGCTAGGGGGTGCTTTTTGGGAGGTATCCTAGATGGAATTTCAGAAATATTTGTTGTTTTTAAAGGACGTAATATTTTAGGTTCAGTTTCCCAATGAAAGCCAAGATATGGATGACTCTGGATGTCCAGAGTTCAGTTTTATGTCCTGTCCTTAAAGATTTGCTCTCACCATGCTAAAGAAAGTTTAGGGACAGAAAACTCTAGAATATCAGTCTGAGAATACTTCAAATCAGGAGGGAGCATGCAGTATGTTAAATTGACAATCATTCCCAAAGAGAGAAAGTCGCAAAAAAGCAACTCTTTTCATAAATCAAACTGTTCCTATTGTTCATGATATCTAACTTGACCTTCCAAATGGCATTCTTGAACAAATATGCCAGACAGTGAAATTAGTCTGAAACCAGCCAATTCTGGCGTTTTGTCTCTATTAAAGACTTTTTACCCCGTTGCCCCATGGAAAAAAAAATGATTCAGTGTAATTCACCAAAACTAATATCAAAATAAATGAAAGAGATAATATGTATATTGATATGATTTGAGAAGTTTTTATACATGATGATCTCCAAGAAAGAGAAAATTGAGACATTCTATCTACATAATATTAAATGCATTCTCACACAGTCCACAACTGGCTTAAAGCTCTTAGGCTGTGCAGCTTTTGAGGGAAAACAGTAGAGTAAAGAAGAGGTGTTTATATGGACAGAGACCTAGAACTTGCCGGTATGTACAGGGGATGTTAGCTTGGCAAAAAATTCTCAAAGGGGTGGAAAAATCTGTTGCCTCCTTATTAAGCTTTAGCAGTACATCTCACTTTCAGAAGACTTAAGTTCTGACTTTGCCAGAAGAGAAAGCGTTAAAAGCCTTTATCCATCCACTGAGAGACTTTTTGTTACCATTGCAAACGTTCTAGCAATCGTCTCACCTAACCCTCTGAGAAATACTTAAAATGCTTGTTTTACTTTGAATCACAAACTTGTACTTTGGAAAAATAAGGGATTTTATAACACACTCAGTTGTCAAAAGATTTCTTTTCGTCAGCTGCCATGGCTAGCCTCCGCAAATTTCAAATAATGGAACAGTTGGGGGATTTGATGTTGGCATGGGCCTGCGGTATTTGTCTGCTGTGGGTCATGCCGGACAGTCCCTCAGAGTCAGGGGGATGAAGTCGTTGGAGCTGTGGGAGAGCTCAATACAATGGGAAGGGATTGAACTCAGGATTTGTCCCTGTCCTTACTCGTTACTCATCACTCAGTTGACTGAGTCCCTCTAAAGCCTCAGACCTTTGGACCAGTGCAATTCTTCTGTAAGAAGAGATCTTGTATCATGTTCGTAACAGTCATTGCAGACAAAGTAACAAGAACAAGTTTACTTCGTCGTATTAAAGCTGCTCACAAAAGGTCAAGTTTGGGTTTGAGTGTGTGGGTAAGTAGTCATTTCACTACTTTGATCCATTGTTACCTTCTCTCTGCCCTACGATGAGACGGACATCCTTAAATCAAAGACAGCTACATATGCACATCCATCCATCCATTTTCTGAAACGCTTATTCTCTAATGGGGTCGCGGGGGGCAACTGGAGCCTATCCCAGTATTCAAAGGGCGAGAGGCGGGGTACACCCTGAACGGTCCGCCAGTCCATCGCAGGGCCACACAGAGACACACAAGGACCAACTACTATGCACACTCACATTCACTCCTAAGGGCTATTTGGAATGTCCAATAAACATAACATGCAGGTTTTTTGGACTCGGGAAGAAGCCGGAGAACCCGGAGAGAACCCACGCAGACACAGGGAGAACATGCAAACTCCACTCAGAAAGATCCTGGTTCCTCCGGGGACTTGAACCCAGAACCCTCTTGCTGTGAGGCAATGGTGCTAACCACCACATATGCACATTTAAATGTTAATTGCTATCTTCACTGGGATGTTGAAGCAATAATTCTGGGTCTTATGAAAGTGAACTTTACTGTGAAAATTTGTCCGATTTTCAGATTAACCGCAGGGAAGTTTTCTCGTCAGTTCACCCTCAAAACAAATGAATTCAGTTAATTTCAGGGGGACTCTGCTGTGTTTTAGGTCCCTTTTGGTACAGAAACCGATGGCATGAACATTCTGGGTCTTGTGCTGTTTGCCATGGTTTTTGGGGTGGCACTCCGGAAACTGGGAGAAGAGGGAGAGGAGCTTATTCGCTTCTTCAACGCGTTCAATGAGGCCACCATGGTGTTGGTCTCCTGGATCATGTGGTGAGTGCGGATGGATTCATTACAACTTTATAATGCTGGGGTAGTTATGACAGGGACTAAGCCAGGAGGATTTTTGATTTGAATGTAAGGAGCAAGCACATAATGTCTGTACAAACTGGTTATTTCAGTTCTCATTGTTTGCTTCTACCCTTCTCTCTCTCCTACCGCTTATATCTCTTAGGTACATCCCTTTTGGCATCATGTTTCTTGTGGGCAGTAAAATTGTGGAGATGGAAGACGTGGTTCTTCTGGTCACCAGTCTGGGGAAATATATCTTTGCTTCAATCCTGGGCCACATCATCCACGGAGGCATTGTTCTACCCCTCATCTACTTTGGTTTCACACGCAAGAACCCTTTCAGTTTCCTGTCAGGCCTCATCACTCCCTTCACCACTGCTTTTGCCACCTGCTCCAGGTAAAGCCCTCAAACCATCCATCCATTATCGGAACGGCTTATTCCCTAATGGGGTGGCGGGGGTACTAAAGCCTATCCCAGTAGTCAAGAGGCAGGGTACACCCTGGATGGTCCGCCAGTCCACACACTCCTTAGGGCAATTTAGAATGTCCAATCAACCAATGCAGGTTTTTGGACGGTTGGAGGAAGCCGTAGAACCCGGAGAGAACCCACATAGACACAGGGAGAACATGCAAATCCCACACAGAAAGGTCCTGGTTCCCCCTGGGACTGGAACCCATGACCTTCTTGCTATGGCTAACCACCACACCACCCCTCAAATCACTGGGTTGATAATAGACCTACATTATATAAAGGAGACAAAGCTTCGAAGTTAGATCCAAGACATTTTTTAGGGACTAGTCATACGGAGTCTGCAGTTGTTTCACTCTTTTTCTTCCCTTTTGTTTTACCTGCCAGTTCGGCGACTCTTCCCTCCATGATTAAGTGCGTGGAAGAAAACAATGGCGTGGACAAACGCATCAGTCGTTTCATCCTGCCCATCGGGGCCACGGTCAACATGGACGGGGCGGCCATTTTCCAATGCATCGCAGCCGTCTTCATCGCTCAGCTCAACAACGCCGAGCTGAACGCCGGACAGATCTTCACCATCCTGTGAGTCACGGCAGAGATAAAAACCTTAACGGACGCCAACATTTTCCATATGCTAATCTTTTTCTAATATCTGTTTGAATACGTTGTCGTACTCTTTAGGGTAACAGCCACAGCTTCCAGTGTTGGCGCAGCAGGCATCCCAGCCGGGGGCATCATCACTATAGCCATCATACTGGAGGCCATTGGCCTGCCGACCAATGACCTGTCCCTCATGCTGGCCGTGGACTGGATCGTGTGAGTAAAAGCGGAGACTCTCAAGCCTATGCATTGTAAAACAAACATGGACACTTGCGGTCACAGTGTGCAAACAAAAATACGGAAATTTGGACCAGATCATCCAGACTGGAGGTCGTAGGGCGAATGGGAGACATGCGGTCTGTTTTCAGCTTTTTCCCAGAAGAACTTTGCTTCAATGCCCCAGAGCAAACAAACGCTTGGAATCCGGTTAAACATGAACAAGTGAACATCTGAAGTGGCAATTTTAATTTCAAATCTTACTTTGGGACTTCCAGGCCTTGTGTTTTTTCAGATTAGAACAATCAATTGTCCTGAATTGCACAAATCAGTAGGGGACTAGAGGAGGTGTTTTTTCCAAGGAACCACCAGACATTAAAGGTGTAACTTTTTACCAAGCACAATTTCTAATTTGTTTGTCTCGTATGTTTTATTTCTGCTTAGAGATCGCACCACCACAGTGGTGAATGTGGAGGGGGATGCTCTGGGTGCTGGAATCCTCCACCACATCAACCAGCAAGAGATGAGGAAGCTGCATCTTCAGGAGGAAGAGCTGGAAGAGGTTCGGGTGGAGGCAATGGCCAACGTTGAGGCCGAGGAAGAAACATCGCCGCTTGTCACGCGTCAAAGCAAAATTTTAGAGGCCACACCGGAAGCCATTGAGTCGGTTCTGTAAACTCAGCAAGACTTGTTTTTTTTAGTTAAGTTTTTTTTTTTTTTTGTTGCTTCCCGACGATCAGCCTTTGATGTCTGATGTTGCTGCTGATGGCACCGGTCTCACTTGGTTATCGCGAAAAAGGAAAAAAAAAAACGACTCAAAAACAGTCACTGATGATGTAATTATGAGGGCAAAAATATGGCATAGTTACAGTCTGTGTAGAGCATAGACACCCAGCAGAGTAGTACTGTTGTTTCCAAGTACCCCAATACAGATTAGGATCAAAGAAATATAATTATTTCTCATTTTAGACATCTTTCTCAAAACATAATGTGAGTTGAAGTTCTAATAATGGTTCTGTCTGTCTCTTTTGAGACACTCCCTGCTCCCAGTTATCTGAAAGTATTGAATACTTGTTTGGTTGTATCTTCATAAGGCAAATTCTCTGATCATCATAAACAATAGAAGATTAATAACCAATTGCTAAGAAGGTTAATAAGCAAATGCTTAAGTTTGACGATTCTCTCCTCACAAAATTACACATTTCCATTACTGGATTCAGCTGTTGGAAATAACTGGACTTCAGAGAAAATTGTCCTTTTTTTTTCAAACTAAGCTGAAGTTTGAGTGGTTGACGTCCTCCTTGAAAACAGCATTTTTTTCAAAGTCCTTTAAAGTTTTTAAAAGATTTGTTTGCTAACTTTTTGCAGTCAGCTTCACACATTAACCTCTAAAAGGACAGATTAAGCGGCCTCTTTTGTGGACAAAACAGTGAAACGTTGAATTGGTGTTTGGATGCATGCATTATCTATAATGCCAGAAAGCCAACTGAAAGTGGGATTTTTTTTAGTAAAGTGAAGGTTGGTTTATTTACAAAGGGAGACATTTTTCTTCCAAATATTTGGAAATATATAGGTTCCCAAGAAAATGATAAGACTAGCCAAAAGCCGTTTTCTGTTGTTGTCTGAGTTCAATTCTGATATTGGACATTTTTAAATTTGATACGAGAGCAGCCAATAGTTGCTTTTAACAAAACATCTCCATTTAATATCCCTTTTTCAGCAAGCTTTCAAAGAGTGAACGTTGGAGTGTAGATTTCCATTTGTTTGCTAGCTAATTAATCACTTTAGCTATGTTAGCATAAAGCTAACCGTTAGCTGTTAGACTACTATGGCAGGCTGACTTTAAATGCAAATTGAAATTTGAAAATAGTTGCCAGATTTTCAGTCACTGACGGTTTCTTGAAGAGATGTCGATGCTTTAAAGATGCACGGACAGGAAGAAATCTTTAAACAAATTGAGATTCTCACTTACGTGACATTTGGACATGATGAAAACACTCCAGTCAGTTACAACTAATCGCAGCATATTTGACTTCCAATATGTCACTAAAGTCAGTAGTTAATGATGGTTGACTGCATTAAATCAATTAGAAAAATAAGAAACAAATCAAAAGCGTTCGAAATTGTTTACACCATTTTACTGGACCAAAATGCTGAAAGACTTCACATGTATACATCATTATTTTGTGAATCCATCCTCATGAATTATAGGGTAACTTTTTTTTCTCCCTCTCATCTCTCAAAGAACTGCCCCATGGTATTAACCTATACTGGAAGCTTAACGTGTTTGTTATTGTACGTATTTTTTAAGACCAGATGTGATGATTCAGTGCATGCAAAGCTATGTTGCGGTATCTGGATCTTATGACTCTCCCTTTTGTCCCAAAATGTGAATGAAAAAGAAAGCCCAATGATTATCCTCTCACTGCATATTTTCAGTCAGTTATGATGATCAACAGTCTTTGGTTGCAAGAGGCTTTCAAAGATGGCCACATCACAACCACTAGTTCTTTTAAAGAGTACAATGTGCTCCATATTTCTGCTGGTGCTTTCCCTGAGGGGAAAATAAAAAAAAACTGTTGTCATTGACATTGTCCACACACTGGATTGTATGGTTTGACATCAGAGAAGTTGTGCCATAACCTCAGATCAGTTTTCTACTACTGATAGGTGAATCTGTGTTGCCCTCTAGTGGCAGAACTTTTAAACCACTGACCGAACGTGACACACTGTCAGTGATAATGTTTTCTATTTATTTGTTTGTCTATTGTTTTCTATAAAGAAGAACTGGTGATGAGACTGCTTTATAGCTTGGTCCTGTAATATTCTTTTACTTTCTGTGATGACCAGTAAGATGTGAAGAAGGGATCTTTTTTCTTTCTCTCTTTGAACTCATTTTTATTGTTTTAACTCGGTTTGAGAGGCTCATTTTGACAGGGTGGAGCAGATTTAGATGTGGATTTAATGAGCAAATAGAGGAATTTGTTTTAAAAAGTCTCTCATTTGACCTTATAGAGAGAGGGCTTTTCTTATTGTACAACTTAACAGGAATCTAAGTTTCATGACTAAGTTTGTTAAGTATACTTTATCTGGATCACATGGATACAGTTTATGTGGTACATGTACTTTGTATACATATATCTATATTTGATATTAATTTATTGTAATCTGTTAAACTTCTTTTTTATTACATGTACTCTCTCCATTTTAACAATTTCCTGTTGTGTAAATGTTTTTGATCAATCCAATTTTTGAGAATATTTCTTCTGCCAGTGTTCCTGAGAAGCATTTCTTAGAATGTTTTTTGTAGTATTTGCTAAAAGCTGCTCCTCTATCTGTTCCAATTCTATGTCTAACATTGCACAGTTCTCTCTTTGCTGTCTGTCTAGCTGTCTGTCAACATTAAAATATTTTCCCATGCTATCCAAATAAGAAGACAACGGTTTGTTCTAATTAATTCTAATTCATTATTTCTTCAAGAGATTGATACCTTCAGCTTAGTTCTTCACTAAGCTGGAGTTTGCTGTCTCTCTTCAAGTTGCAGAATTTGAAAGAAATTACAAATGACACATGACAAATAAGATTTTGATTTCACACATAAAAATAGCAAATTTGAGATTTTAACCCTCAGGTATTTTGTCATTAGCAGCCAGTTGAACAATTAGTTTTCATTACTGTTGCAAGGGTTTATGTTCATAAATTCTGTTAAAAAATGTAAAAAACTGTTCACATTGTGACAAAGAGTATTTCATCAGTAAGAAATAAAACATATGCCCTCCACTAGAGTGGATATTTGGATTATTCCTTCAATAAGCGGGTTTTTGACCAAAAGATTTTCATATTTTTATTGTGTCTTAAGATAATCAAAAACACTTTGGCTAAAATCTTGAGTAAAATTATCCTAATTCATGCATGGAAGGGTTAAAGGAGGAGAAGATGGCCAATTTAGTTTAAGGCAGAAGAGTTAGTTTAAAGGGTGCAATAACAACGGCTTCCTCACAATAACATTAATTACCACAGTTCTATTGCTTAATTTCTTTTCAAAACAAAGTTAATGATTGCAAAGGACTGTGCAGACTTAGAAAATTTAGCTTTACATGCTTTAAAAAAAGAAACGCAACTGTAAAAAGAAAAAAAACAAAAACAAAAATTCAGCTCTTCTCCTATAAAAGACATGTAGCTCATTTTTTACATGTATCTATGAAGGGAAGTTTGTCTGAAAAGATCATCTCTCTACAAGCAATCCTAATCTGGTGAGTCAAGGTGTGAATGTTTTTGACACCAAGGGAAAGCCACTCAGCCAGAATACCACCTACACAGTAAAGCCTGGTGGTGGCATCATCAGGCTATGGTAACGATTAGCCTGTTGGAAGGACCTGGGATACTGGTCAGAATTTTAGGAATGATAAATGGTTCCAAACCAAAGGTCATACCTTTACAGGATCCTGTAAAGGTCTTCCAGAGATTGAGACCTGAATGGGGGATACTGGAACGCCCACCCCTCTACAAACCCGACGTGGGCGAGTGATTCCATCCACTCGGCCATAGCCCGGCTACAGACTCAACACCCGAGCGCTTTCGTTGCTATCTGGGGTGACTTCAATCATATCACCATGGACACAACACTCCCCACATTCACCCGGTATGAGAACTGTCCCACCAGAGAGGAGAGAACCGTCGACCTGCTATATGCTGATGTCAAGGACCCATACAGAAGGTCAGATCACAACCTGATTCACAAAGACCCCCTGCTATGTGCCTGTGGTGAAGAACCAGCCTGCAACCACTAAGACCGTCAGAAGATGGTCCGAGGAGGCCAATGAGACCCTGCTTCGAGGTGACCGACTGGCAGACGCTCTGTGAGCTGCATGGAGAGGACATTGATGGGCTCACAGATGGTGTCCCCGATTACATTAACTTCTCCGTCGACACCATCGTCCCACCAAAGATTGTCCTTTGTTACCCGAATAACAAGCCGTGGGTGACAAAGGACATAAAGATAATCCTGAACAAGCAGAATAGGGTTTTTAGAGCTGCCAACAAAGAGGAGGTGCAAACTATCCAGAGGGAGCTGAGGGTGAGGATTAGGGAAGCCATGGACAAATACAGGAGGAAGCTGGAGTGGAAACTCCAGCAGAACAACAAGAGAGAGGTCTGGAGTGGAATGAGGACCATCACAAGCTTCAGACCGTCCAGCGGCAGTGGAGTGGAAGGCAGTGTGGACGTGGCCAACGACTTGAATCTGTTTTTCAACAGATTTGACTCAGTGAACCCAGCACCCACTCCACGCCTTCACTCTGTCCCTTCGCCTTCCCACAGCCCCTCATCTTTCGGTGATGACCCCCCTCACACCTCCTCCACTGGCCGCCAGGCTGACTTCACTCTCCGGCATGGCACCTCCACCCCTCCCCCTCCGGTCACCTCCAGACTGACCATCACCCCTGATCATGTCAGGAGACAGCTGAGTAGTCTCTACTCAGGCGGGTCTGCAGGCCCAGATGGTGATAGCCCCAGGGTGCTCAAAGTCCGTGCCCCCCAGCAATCTTCAGCCTGAGCCTGAGTCTTCACAGGGTCCCCGGCCAATGGTCAGACAACTTCTAGACCCCTCTCCAGTTCGACTACCAGCCCCGATTAGGAGTTGAGGACGCCATCATCTACCTGCTCAACCGTGTCTACGTCCACCTGGACAAGCAGCAAGCACTGTGAGAGTCATATTCTCTGACTTCTCCAGTGCATTCCACACCATCCGTCCGGCTCTACTGGGTGAGAAACTGACAGCGATGCTGATGGATGCCCCCATTCTGTCCTGGATTGTGGATTACCTGACGGGCAGACCACAGTACGTGCACCTGCGGCACTGCAAGTCAGAAAAGGTGGTTAGTAGGGGAGTGTCCTCTCTCCCTTCCTCTTCACCCTGTAGATCACGGACTTCAGCTACTGCACAGAGACCTGCCACCTTCAGAGATTTCTGATGCCTCTGCAGAAGTTGGATGCATCAGCAGTGGTGAGGAGACTCAGTACAGGGGTGTTGTGGACAACTTTGTCACCTGGTGTGAGCAGAACCATCTGCAGCTCAACGTGGTAAAGACCAAGGAACTGGTGGTGGATCTGAGAAGGATTAAGGCCCCAGTGACCCCTGTTTCTATCTGTGGGGTCAACGTGGACACTGTCGAGGACTATAAATACTTAGGGGTGCACTTGTACAATAAACTGGACTAAACTGGAATTAAAACACCAATGCCCTGTACAGGAAGGGCCAGAGCCGTGTCTATTTTCTGAGGCGGTTGAGGTCCTTCGACATCTGTCGGACAATGCTACGGATGTTCTATGAGTCTGTGGTGGCCGGGGCCATCCTTTATGCCGTTGCCTGCTGGGGCAGCAGGCTGAAGGTGAAAGACGCCAATAGACGTAACAAACTCATCCGCAAGGCCAGTCACGTTTTAGGAGAGGAGCTGGACTCTCTGATGGCAGTGTCAGAGAGAAAAATGGTGGCCAGAGTAAAATCCCACAGAAGCACCTTCAGTCAGAGACTCGTCTCACCCCGCTGCACCACGGAGCGCCGCAGGAAGTCATTCCTGCCTGTGGCCATCAAACAGTATAATTAATCTATCAGTCATTTAATTTAATTTCTTATTATTTATTTACTTAATACTTCACTATTTGCAATAACCCGGTAATGGAGAACAATAGTAATTTAGACACTGAATAGCTTTGTTGATACTGTTGATTTTACAGTTTATTTATTTTATTTTTTTCAAATTATTTCTATCTTCTATAAACGGGTGCACTGCAAAAAAACAAAAAAATTCCAGTAAGGGATTAGTAAAGCAATTCTGATTCTGATTCTGAATTGGGCAGATGAATAATTAATCCATTTTCAATAATGGTTATTCACAGGCAAGAGTGAAACAAGAGCAAGAGGCAAACTACATCCTGAAAATGTTGCCACTCAATCATACGGTCACCCATAATTAAAATGAAAACAATAACAAAAAAACAAAAACACATTCACAGTGTTCAATAAACTTACAATGCATGTTTGCTACCACACCACTGTGTTTCCCATGGCAGAAAACTCATGTTAGCCAATGTTGACGTGGAGGTAAACTGGATAATGGATAATGACTCACATTTCCCAAAGGAAGATAATGAAAGGATAGCAAAATTCGTACGAATATGTAATATAATGTATATAGTGTAATGTACAACATTTAAAATGTAACCTTATAATGCATGAAACATTGATAATGTTTGCATCAGAAGTATTTGTTTGATTCTTTAACAAGTATAAAAAGATACATGTAAATAAATGAAAAATAATTTGTCCTTTTGTAATAAATGTTAAACATTGTCCATGTTTTTTAATTCAAACAAAAAAATAAATCATTCTATCTTAAACAAATGTTAACCATTATGATGATGCAGTAGGTCAAATAAATGGATATGTCAACTTTGATACAAAAAGTATTAAAGAATTAAAGGTGTGTAAAGGTTTAATTTTCCCCATATATTTCTTGTTTGTCCCGGAATATATGCACAGTGAAATCACTTGTAAAACAGAGCAGAAATGTTGTCGTGTCCAGATTTTCCGGTTCAGAATCTGAAACTAATGTCAAAATTCCTACGGTCCTGAATGCAACACAGATGGTGATGCTTCACGTTACCTGCTAGCAGATTGCAAGCTAATTGACCAGAGGCAGCACAGTGCAGCTACGCGGGGATGTCCCACCCTTGTTAACTAAAGCTGAGGACTTCGTGGTTTCTGACGGCTCTTGATAAGCAGGACTAACTTCGAAACTGTGAAAAGCGAGATGACGACGCGTTCAGAGAGAGAAAAAGCCCAGAAACTGAATGAGCAGCATCAGGCCATTCTGTCTAAACTGCTGAGAGAGGAGGAGAACAAGTATTGTGCCGACTGTGAGGCAAAAGGTAAGGATGACATAGCTAGCTTCCAGCCACCACGTCACTAATGTGTCAGCCATGAAAATGGAACGTTAAGAGAAGTTGCCAGCTAATGGCTGCTAAAGCTAGCAAACCTCCTGTAACGTTATTCTGACAGGAGTCACTGATATGGCAGTGCTTACATCCATATGTCAAGTTGCATAGCAACAAGCGTGTCATTCTGGTGGAACTATTTTTTTTACGACCGTGTACGCTTTTTTCCTTTAACAATTTAAACACTTTTTGCTGTATATTTTCTTAAAGGTGTAATTAAGTCACATATGTATATATATGTTCAGTAATAAGCAACATTTGCTCAAGTATCTTCAATAAAAATTCCACTTCCGTTACGATTTCAATGTAAATCCATCACCAAATTAATATCGTTAGGGGAACAATGGGTCAATGTCGTGTCGTTGTAATCAATGTAAGGAGATATGTCATTTTTTAGGATGTTTTAATTAATTTTGTTGGGACTTATTTTACCGTACAGTCATATGTGCATCTGGTAATTACATACACATAATATTTAGGTTCCTGTTGTTGTTAATAAGTGAGAGTGAGATTAACTTTACTCACATGGTATAGAGAAGTTGTGTGGTGGTCAAGCATTCAGGCCCTCTCTCGGAATTCACGCGCATATCTATTATTGTGAAACGTAAGTTTACGTACTTCCGGTCTGCCTTTGCGCAAAATGCGTATGACTTGACTCAGTTTCCGCCCGATAGTATCCATGTCATGTCCTTGACTAGTTTATTCATGAGTGGAAAACGTGCGTGTTTGCTTTGTTGAATTTGAGCTCTTCCTTTTTTTGCTAGCTGAATGGTTCAGGTAGAGAAAACGCATCGGTACCCGGTTCGGGGTGTTTGTGTTTTTGTTTTTCTTCCTGGAGATGCGGACATCTCTCGTAAGGGCGTACGGGGATGCTTTCCCCACGAGGGGGCAAAGATCATCCTCCCAAACTTCTTTAGAAAATGGACGCTTTATTATACAGAGTCAAATAAAAAGCTTGATCAAATTATTTTTCCCTAAACCTCAATAGTATCTCTACAACTCGGCATTAATGAATGAATAATAATGAAGGATAATGCATTTCTTGTAGATTGTTATCAAATTTGCATTCCTTAAAGAGTCAGCAACATTCACCCCCTAAGAAAATCTGAGACATGATCCCTCCACACTGACTCATCGTTGAGGGTTGCATAAATAATACAGTGCGTAATTATATGTGTGCGTAAAAAGACTAGTGTGTAGAGCGAGGTTTGAACAGCTGATGGCAGCTTTAACTGTGGCTGTGATTACATTTCCTTTGCGTCAGCAGCCTGCCTGCTCTACCATCTGACTGTTATAATCTGTGGTAGCAAACACACCTCAGATCAGCGAGTCGGCTTTGGTTTGGCAAACATGTCTGCTTATCCTTTTTCTGCTGCTGTTGCCTCTACCAGACACACCCATGCTGGATTTTTTTTTTTTTAAGTTTCAGGAGTCTGCACAGGTTTTTCGGAAGGCTTTGTCAATGTACAACGTAATTATTACGATGTATTCTACTTAAAATCAGCTTTCAGGCCCGAACCAAACCGTAGCTTTCTGGCACAACTGTTTTTACTGTAATGATAAATAATTTTTTCTCTGCTTTTTAAGATTCTAAACGCTCTAGACAGCTGCGTTTACTAAATGGATGGCTGAGCAATAAATGTAGTGTCGGGTTTTTCTTTGATTGAGTTATTTTTAAGGCAGAACACAGTTTCTACGATGGAAGCCTGATCCAGTATTCTCAGCAGTAGTGGTGCTCCTCGGGTAGCAGCAGAGCTGTGAGCTTGAAGATAAGAAAAAGCTTCTGAAAAGGCTTAAGGACCCTGATTTTCTTTTTTTTTAATGTCACTTTCTAAGGTCAATCTAACAGATGCAACACTCCATACAGTGTCTCTTTAATGTTCACTGAGTGATAAATCACAATTTTTATTATAGAAATTGAGCCATCAAATGATGAATGATTATAATGTACACATAAAGTTGACATAATGTCAGTAGCACAGTTAATTTCATAAAAAAACAAAAGCAGAAGTCTTACTATTAGCCTCCAAACTCTACATTTCTTCTTTCAAAGACACAAAAAAACTTAGGGAAGACAGAAATCCCTCTTAATAGTTTTAGAAAAACAGGATTGAAGCTACAAAGCAAACCAACAAACAGGAAAATATCTGCTGGGAGCTCACTATTGGAAATGTGTAACAATCCCTGCAAAGAAAAGCTACAAATCTGACGTGCCTACCCAATGACACAGGTCCTCCCTCAGCATCTGCCCCGCATGTCCACTGACAGCTCGTGACAGCAGGCCTTTACGGCAGAGTTTCTAGAAAATAACCGATCTTATGACCCCAAAGCAGAAGGGACCACCTACGAACGAAGGCTTACATATGAAAGGATTAACTGAACGTGCTTTAACTATCCCCGGCGAGGTGGTACGTGGCCCTTTGGAATGGTAAATGAGTCTGCATTTTCTCCTCCGGCCGCCGTGCGTGCGTGTGTCGTGATGAATCTAGTTTTAGCCTTATTTTCAGACGGCGCGCTAACATGGCGGCATTCAGGGGCTTAACGGCCATCTGCACGTCCTCCATTACCATTACGCCAAGATGGCTTTCCTTCCTCTGTCCCTTCTGCTGACTTTGCCCTGGAGATGGCTGGATTTGCTGCATCAGGAAGCGCTCCCATCGCGTCCCCAGTGGAGCCAATCAGCTTCACGTGCACGCAGATCCGCTTTTGTCTACTTCTCTGTGAAATAACGGGTTTTTTGGGATGTGTTTAACAAAAAAAATGCAGAGAAATGTACCCAGTATGTGTGTGGATGGTCTGAAATTTCCACATGTTTGCACTTTCCCATAATAGTGATAAACAAATATGTGGTGTGAGTCTTTTGCTCTTGATATGACGTGTTAGAGAGCAGTTAGTGACAGTTTTTTTATTTATTTTTTTATTCAGAGGGAGCACATTGGTATGTTGTCTCATTAAATTGTTTTGGATGCTTTTTAAAATATCTGTATGGAACCCAAAGAGTCTGTCAATCTTTTTCGACTGGTCAGGGGAGGTTATTATCCGTCATCCGTTCGGATAAAAATGAAAATCGCCTTCAGGTTTGAAGCCTATATGAGACTTTAAGGACTGCAAAACTCAATTACAGCCAGAGGAGCCGCTCAGAAGCAGAGAGAAGTAATTATTGAAGTTGAAATGCAAAATTTTCTGAACTCGGTGCTCTTCCCAGACATAATTCACATAATATTGATTTTGTGCGCATTCTCTCACTGCTGATTCTTACTCAGGCTGTAGATGATGAAAATATTCCCAACTGAACTACATTCAGATCTTTGTAGGCTTTGTTTTGCACCAGTGACTGCACCCCAGCGCTCGGGGCCAGCTTACGTACGTTTCTTCTAAAGCGGCCGCATCCAGCCTTAGCCGGTGAGTCATGCTGATTATTTTTTGCCGCTATTTTTAATCCAAACAATAGACGGAGATAACATCTTTAGAAAAATCTCCTGTGCTTTTTTCTTTTTCCCCCCTCACTTTTTTTTTCTCCTCTTTTTAAGTCGAGGAACATTTGCATGGCTTCTTCCTTTAACTTTGAGCAGGGGATCAAATGTCATTGTGCATCTCGTGTCTATTTTTATATTTTCATACTGGCCGAGTTCCATTGAAGCTAGCATGAATGTGTGCATTGAATCATGACACTCTTCTGCATGTGTAGAATACTGTTCAGTTTAGATTGGTGAAGCATAGTAGAAATTAAATAAGATCTTTTAAATGGTATGTTTAACAGTTAAATGTGTGTTGAGGTGTTTAGATAGTGTATCTTTGAGGTAACTGATTTTCTAATTGGTTTATTTGTGTACTGTAGGCCTGACTCATTTTTTCTTAAATAATTAACCTTTATTGATTAAGACAGCTTGAGTCTTGGCTTTTCTTCTGTTCAATTCTTGACTGACCTTTTGTCTATTCTCTCCCAAGTCAATCCAAATCCATTCCGACTATCTTTCTGTTCTTTTTTTAAATTCCGTACTGCAGCCAGTGTAAAAGGGGGTCAATTATGAGGAAGCGCCAGAGGAAAGGTGTCAGAACTATTTAACTTTCCTTTTTTTCTTTCTTATTTTCTACTCTTTTTACTGTATCTTTACTCCTATTCATTTTTATTTCCATTTTACCTCAGTGGGCACATTTCTGAGCTCAAATGACATAGTTATAAATGTGTAATACTGTCCTTTGACCCGACGAGGAGCTTACATTCTTTAGTTTTGCTACCAGTTATTGAAAAATTTTGAAAAAATGAACCTGAAAAATCTGAAAAAACAAACAAAACATAAATAGAAACTTTTATCATTGCAAAAAATTGAGTTTTTTTAAAGATTATCAATGGAATGAAGTGATTCAACCCTTGGTATTCAAAGCGGTTAGCTACACACGACACAAATATAAGTGGAAAAGAGAATAAAACCACCGGTAAAGTGTTTGACCGATAGGTCTGACCCCAGTTTGCGGTGCGTGTGCTCTTGCCTGCTCGCCGTGTTCTCTGACGAGTGTTTGGGTGTGGCGGCCTGAGCTTAACGTGACCACTGCAGCGTGGTGACTCACCTGACCCTCCGCGCTGTAATTCCACCCCCAGGTCTGCCTTTTGTCTGCACACTCTGCCCACACACACACACACACACACACACACTCTGCCCTACTTTTCCCTGCCCGCGCAAGAATGCGGGAGACGGACAGACGGAACCCTTATTGATTGCACTTTTCATTCTGCTGCATTAGTCTGTCCATTATTTATAACAGTCCACACTATGGTTTTTCTTCCGCTTCCATTTTTATGCCCTCCCTTTAGCGGTGCTATGCAGACTTGTGACTCACAGGCCGGCACTTGCTTCCCTACCCTGACCCAGCGGCTCTGGGTATATGGCCCCCGTGGGTGGGTCAGCGCCCCGATGATGACCCGTCCTTGGTTTCTGCTCCGCGCTCGCCCTCTGCAAATGTGTGAGGACACCCAGTCACTTTTATTCAGAGGCTTGCTGAGTGTTTTCTACATCACTAAATCGTACGGGGTCAAAATAAAATGCACCGGCTGTGGTTTGGTAGGAGGGCGGCACGGTGGCGTGGTGGTGAGCACCGTCGCCGCACAGCAAGAAGGTTCTGGGTTGGAGTCCCCGGGGGAACCAGGACCACTCTGTGTAGAGTTTACATGTTCTCCCTGTGTCCGTGTGGGTTCTCTGCGGGTTCTCCGGCTTCCTCCCACAGTCCAAAAACCTGCATGTTAGGTTGATTGGACATTCCAAATTGCCCTTAGGAGTGAATGTGCGTGGTTGTTTGTCTCTGTGTGGCCCTGTGATGGACTGGGGGACCGTCCAGGGTGTACCCCGCCTCTCACCCGTTGACCACTGGGATAGGCTTCAATAAGCGGTTACAATAATGGATGGATGGTTTGATAGAGCCTTAGAAGTACTTAGTTTTTGTGTACACCCTGTAATGATCTTTTGTTACCCCCACAATATCGCACACAAATGCTGTGCATATTTGTTCATATTTGTCGATGTGGTACTACCTTTTTATCACCAGCAGATGGAATACTGTATTAGCTTAATTTGTTTCTGTCCCTAGTCTTTTTTTAAATCTAGTGCTGATTTTAACACAGTATCTATCTGCCTTTTTTACATTTTTTTTCACTGGGCCTTGTTTTCTTGCATTTTAGAAGCAACATTATTATTATTACTCATTTTACTCTCATAAAAAAAGAAGAATAGGACTTCTGGCTATGTGGAAAGGCAGTTGTATTTCCATTCCATCCTCTCATCACTGTGGGACCTGCAGTCCACTAAGGGGCCAGCAGGGGGCAGCACCACCCTTCTGTTCGCACCCCCCCCTCCCAATCCAGCACCTTTTCTCCTCAGAGTCCAGCATTAAAGATCTCAGCAGCTCTCCCAAGATTTACTGAGATGGAATTGCATTAATTAGGAAATGGAGGTCGTTAACCTTCAGGAGAGTGCTGCTGAATTTCAAAAGCACAGGGACAGTTTGGTTTCGCTGCCCGTGGCACCGTCCGGCCTTCGATGGTAAAATTGGCTCCAGTTTCTCGTTCTTAGACGGAAAAAACGGCGAACTTCTCAATTCGAGTTACGTGCCAGGTGTGATTTAAGAATTTGGAAATATCACAGAGAGATTTCAAGCTGTTTTTAAAAGAGATGATTAAGATGGAGAGACTAAGGGCGAGAAAAAGGGGTGGCTTGGATAAAAAAACAAACAAACAGTAAATTAGGGGGTGGCTGTTCGAGTGACCTAGATGGATTCCCTGGCTGAAGCAGAGAATCTGTAAAGTCCACAACCGAAGCCCCCCCCCCCCCCCCCCCCCCCCCTTTAATTTTTTTTTTTTTTTTTTTTCAGGCCCGCTCCCTTGCCTGCTCTTTGACACTCCAAAGGATCTGTTTTCAGGCATGTGTGTGTGTCTATGTGTGTGTGTGTGTACTTGAGAACTCATTTAGAGTCTATTCAGGTCAGAGGACTACAAATTAGCACTGCCATGTGTTTTGTTCATTTGTGAGTGTGGCCTCGTTCTTCTCCTCTAAATAGAAAATACATTTATTCGTTTTTTTAATGATCAAATGTCATAGGTGGGTGAAAAAGATAGAAATTTTAAATAAATGTTGATTGGAATGAGGTTGCTTATCCATTTTCAGTTCAGGTTCTGGTCATCTTTTGCCTAAATGAAGACAACAAATGAAGGGATGGATCTGGGAAACTATACAGACAGTCAGTGGGTTATATATAGCGCATGGCCACAGAACTTTAGATTTAGATAAAAGGAAAAAAAGTAGTTTTGTAATGTAATATAATTTATTCTTTTCCCTTTTTACTAAAAGCTGCACTGACTAATGTTTTCAACCATTTGTAGTCAAAGAGGCTTAAGCTTTTGAGACATCTTCAAAGCTTACAGGGTACACATTAACGCAGAATTGGGCGTCCATTTCTGGCCCACGTGTAATTTACATTTACTCCTTTCGGCAATGTCAGACTCTACAGTCGCCCCCCCCCCCCCCTGCATGGTCTGAGCCGGTGCACACAGCACACACACACTCACCAAAAGACTAATCTTCAAAGCTGTTCCTATCTTATAACACTAATGGCCACCTCAGGCATGCACATACCCCTGGCAAAAACGGTTACACTCTGAGGGCGCTCGTTCGGCTTTTTATTAAAGCAAAAAAATCAAGAAAAACACACAGAACGCTTCTTTTAATATCTAAACGTTCTGAATTTGTGAAATATACCTCAACAAATTCTTCCTACACTTTTTTTTTTATTTTCTAAAGCCATTTTCTGTTTTCTTAGTATTTTCCGCATAGAGTATTAGAGTACAATTTTAAAATTCTTGGAAAAAAGAATAACAGTGGCTGCTTTTTTGTGTATCTCTTCTGGTTTGAATTCTTTGAGGCATGTACTTTACAAGGAAAAGGCTATTATTCTTCATCAGTCAGGTTCCAGCGCCCGCTCATAGAAGATGACGGATGAGCTTTGTTGGAGAGAGTGTTGTCATGGTTCATCGCTTTTCAGTTAAATTTTCACTATGAATCTTCAATCACCTTTAGATCTGGTCTGTTTGCTTGCCATGGCATCAATCTGATCCAGAGGAAGCGTTTCCTCCGTGGCAGGATGCGTTATCATCCGAAAAAAGCAGCTCACTATCAGTACACATTGTTTTTTCTCGACAGAATAATGAAAGTATCCTTAATTTCTGTGTTTGTTTACTGTAGATGGAGTGATTGCTGCCTACCCTTAAATGACATTGACTCCCTTGTTGAATATTTGTCTTTTCTTGAGTAGGCCATAGGCTGAAGCTCAAAATGTGGCTAGAAATAGGATTTCGCTCCACTATCCTGGGGACTACTTTTCGATAGCACTTTTCCAATCTTGAATATGTACTGGAGCTGGGAAAAAAAGTTCTCCGTGGGATTCCTGCCAGTATTTGAGAAAATGGGTGCCAAAGGTGGCAGTTTACCCAAAAAAGTGACGATTTTGGGTCTTCTACCATTTTCAAACCCTTGTAACTTTTTTATTATTAAGCCGATCGTACTCAAATTTCTAATTCCCACAGACATTCATACTTACTCTGAGCTTCTAAAGCGGCAATGTTCTGCGTGCTTTAAGTACGGAGTTATTCTAAATGAAAACATACACTTTTGAACAACTTCACAATCTCCCAAAATGTATCTTTATTGCACATGAAAATTGCAATTCTTTGAATTTTCAATTGAAAAATTCTAATTGCAAGATATCCCTTTGTGTCTGGTTAACTAATAACTATGAAAAGTGGTGTAAATTTTATCACCTAGCAAACCAGTTACAATATAGGCCATAGGCTGAAGCTCAAAATGTGGCTAGAAATAGGATTTCGCTCCACTAACCTGGGGACTACTTTTGATAGCACTTTTCCAATCTTGAATATGTACTGGAGCTGGGAAAAAAAGTTCTCCATGGGATTCCTGCCAGTATTTGAGAAAATGGGTGCCAAAGTGGCAGTTTACCCAAAAAAGTGCCGATTTTGGGTCTTCTACCATTTTCAAACCCTCGTAACTTTTTTATTATTAATGCGATTGTACTCAAATTTTTGATTCCCACAGACATTCATACTTACTCAGAGCTTCTAAAGCGGCAATGTTCTGCGTGCTTTAAGTAAGAAGTTATTCTAAATGAAAACATACAGTTTTGAACAATTTCACAATTTCCCAAAATATATATTTATTGCACATGAAAACTGCAATTCTTTGAATTTTAAATTGAAAAACTCTAATAGAAAGATATCCCTTGTGTCTGGTTAATTAAAAACTATTTAAAGTGGTGTGAATTTTATCACCTAGCAGACCAGTTACAATATTGGAAGCAAAATTTTCGGAAATAACTATAAAAACTAGAAGAATCTTCAAGTAAATTTATACTGTTTATTCAATGGATCTGATATCAACTTAAGCAATCATGGAATTAATGAACAAATAATAACAAAAATAATAGTAACAACCCCCCCCCCACCACCACCACCACTCCATTCCCACACCAACAAGAGTTACTTCTTCTGTTTGTTGCAACATTTATGAATATTTACAGAGAGAATTAATCATCTTCAGAAAAACTGAAAGAGAATAAGAAGCCTACATATCATTTTTCAATTACTTTTGAACAATTCTACCAAGTACTAAGCATGCCAAAGTTGATATCTCCCAAATTTTATACATGTACATATATAATTATAAAGACCGATTCTAACCATTTATAAATCTCCACTCAGTAACTATTGACAAATGGCAATAGCAATGATAACATGATTTTGAAAAGGGGTAAAGTTTTCAGATGCCTCATAACAATAGGAAGAATAATAATCATAATTATTGATTATTTATGAGAACAATGGAAAGTATTAATATCACAACATTAAAAAATTAACTCTTATTTATAAGCTACAAGATTGTTTTTTTTTACATTTACTACAAACTTCAGTTAACTATGGACAAATATTCAAATTGGTTTTCAGAAATGAAATGGTTTCAATCAGCTAACCCGTGGGTTGTGAATTCACTCCTCTGAGGCAAGACTTAATATGGAAATGTACAGGGAATTAAAGAAGGCACAAAGACATTTCTGTTTTTAAACAATTACTTTTGTTGGACCCAGCAAGCCTTGAGATGTTAAACATTTTAGGATCACTTCGGGTTGTTACGACTTGAGAATTACAATAGAAAATACAGAGAAACTATGAATCATCAAAATCATAGGAGTGATAGGAGTCTCCTCCTATCACTTCCTGCAGGTGTTCCTAGAGCTGTGGAGTCTGGATCTGTGATTGGGAGTTTCCTGCTGCTCTGTTTTCCTGCTCTGCTAATACTTTGCATAGTGTTATTTCTGTCATAACTCCTATCATTATCATTAGTATCAATATACATAAAATTGAATTGAATTGAACTTTCGTTGTAGAACCGTTTGTGCTACCGGACTTCAATTGCGACACAATCTTTTCCACGTACATCCTTGAGGATGGATTCGTCCATTTTCACTTCAGCTGCATTAACCAAACTCCCTAGCAAAGAGAGAGTTAAAGTTCAATCATAAACCAGCTGCCAACAAATAATATCAAATACATTTTCTCTGTTTTACCAGACTGAACTGGTAGTTGGGTGACAAATTTAAAAATCTAACCATTATTTGACGAATCAATTAATTGCCTATCATCACTTCAAGTTCATAATAATGCCTTTTATTATTATTGAGGCCCTACACATAGCCTTCATACACCTACTTCATAATAATGTGAGAAGGCTAGGGCTGGCACCAATTACACATGCTTTTTTCTTATCAACAAATGTATTACTTTAGCTTTTGATTATAAGCCACAAACAAAGATGCTGTCTGCAAATTATCTAATCACCAGTATTTATAGTTTCTGCTTGGACCAATTTACCTTTTCTTTGCCGTGTGTTCCTCCGCCAACGTGCGGTCAATTCCGTCCATACACTTACGGCCACATACGACCAGCTTCTTCCACGAACAACTGTTAGTGGCTGTGTCCGTTCTTTGTCTACCGATTATATGTGTGTGATGCACATATAATCCTCATTTTTCTTGCGTTTTTTGTCTGATCAACGGAAACGCGCAGCTCCACGGGAGCAGCCATGTTTGTTGTTGTTCTTCTGTTCTCGCCTCTGAATGGGAGAGCGCACCTGAAGGACGCGCTCTGATTGGCTGACGGCTAGGCGGCTTGATTCGACCGTATTTTACCGGTGTGATCAGGCTACCGATATAGTTACATTTTTAAGTAATTATTGTAAAAATACTGGCGCAAAGCGATTGGAGAACTTTTGGTTATGAGCTCAAAATGCACTAAGGATTTTTTTGCAGGTGTCATTTAGTAGTCCCTCAATAAGTGGAGCGAAACTTAACGATACAGGCTTCAGCCTATGGCCTAGAGGAGAAGACGGCAAAAGTTTCGGCTTTGTCTTCCTTGGCGAATGCAGATTGATGATTCATCCCTGAATATGACTTTTCCTTCAGCCATCCACAGCCCACAGCTGCTTCTTTTTAGACCGCTCTGCCACGATTTCCTTCTCTTTGGTTGTGAGTGATGGTTTTTGTTTCGCTATCTAAGATACAAATCCACTTTGGATGCCAACCAATATGTCTGACTTAGTTGACTCGTATGTTCCCCTTTTTCCAAACATCTCATTTTTTTATTCAAACCTGCTCCATATTGTAAACATAGCTTACCATAGCAGGAACATTTTTGAATTACTTTCAGTTTTACCTACAGGTTTTTTCTCAAATTTTGCATAATTTGTTCAAATTGTAAGGTGAATCCATAACATGTTGTCTCCTGATGTGTAAAAATGAATATAAGCTACTTATTACAGTTTTAATCACATTTTTAGGTATGTCTTAATGAGCCAGAAAGCTCAGCTGTAAAATGCAGTTAATCATATCTGTTTATTATTGATAATGTACATGTAATTATTTAAGTACCAGACCATTAAAAAAATGGTTAAGTCCATTAAGTCCTCCTAGAATGTAGCAGTTACTATATGAGGAATGCAGCAGTTAACAGAAGCGGTTCAGACTTTTGAAGCACACGTTACAAGAGTTTAGGAACCTTAAGGCTGGACTTATCTTTAAGTCTAATGAATCGTTATGGTCATCCTAAATGACTCTGTCCTAGAGAGCCAGGTGGCTGAGACTCCGCATCTCACAACTCTGGCTTCCAGCTTCTCTGCACACTGCTTTGCAATGTAGATTCTAAAAGAAGTTGTGGGGCTTGAATGCCATCTTTGTGCCCTCTTAATGGTCACAGAAATAAAAAAAAGAAGGATTTCTGAGACCGATTGCATCATCGTATTGTCCAAACTTTGTTTTAAAAAAAAAACATATGACCTCCTATTCACTTTTTTCTTCATAGTTAAATAGTGCAGAAAATGTAATAAAAAAATCCAGATGCACATTATATTTGTATTATTTTTTACATATTGTTAGAGCCAAATAAAAACCTCAGACGAAAAAAGGTTTTAGGATCGGGTTAAGCTTATTGGGTACTTTTGTACCGTGTTGTATTATTATTTGTTTTGTAAATTCTTGTTGAGCTCTTTTCTTTTTGAGTTTATTTATTTTCCCAAATGATGGCATTTTAATCTTCTTTTGTAATTAGACTTCAAGAAACTTTGAGACTTAACTCCCCAAATTAATGATTATAAACTAAACATGGTGAATTCGGTTCCAATGTTTTTATTTGCCAATTGAAACATCATTAATCCCTGAAAGGCAGTCATGTTTTTGCAGAATGAGTTATTGAGGAAAAATCATAATAATGAGTAATACACAACGAGACCAATGATAAATAAACTCTAAATACTAACAGTTGGGGGATTTATAAATCAGAAACATGTTCAAATCTGCAGAAATCCCTATGAATATACTGGGATGTTGTGTAAGAGACCGTTGGAATGTAGTTATGTTTTTTATTTTTTTATTTGCTTCTTTATTTCCCTTGATTTCTGTGCATCTTATTAGGGAACATTTCATTTTCATCTTATATCACATTCCCATTTTGACCATAAAAGTGCAAATGTCCTTTGAAGAGCTGATTGATCCTATAATTTGCCAAGAAAGACTCATACATTTATCTTTACGTTAGAATACATCCAAATTTGTCAAAATCATTCTGCGTTCTTCGCCATGTCAATAGGAACCCAACATTTTGCTTTAGCTATCTTTTGACGGTGGCTATCTGAGAACGGGTCAAAGAAAAGTCCCGTAGATACTGATGGATATCCAGCAGATAGAGTCCAGCTTACAATGGCTGAGCTACTTGATATAGGCTTAATTCCCATTCAGTTGCCTTAATGCTCCTTTAGGCCATCCAGCGCATTAGTGCCACTGCATTAACGCTCTGATGCTTTTATCCGAGACCAGCAAGCCCACTAGACTGTGTGCGTTCCCTCTTCCGTCCAACCAGAACTGCCGCACCGTCGTTATGTAGCCTGGATCCATAAAAGTCGAGCGGTTGTACGTTCAAAGTCACTTTCAGTCCTTTCGGTTTACGGATAGCAAGCCTAACGTTCTGGCCAGGAATAGAGACTGGGCTGACGTGGTGGGTTTTGAGCCATCATCCCATTAAAATTTTGATGCCATCTCTGATTCATCCCCCACAGAGATTTGGCAGAGGCCAAGGCTATTTTGTGCTACTTTTTATGTGATGGCCTTCGGATGACAGAATCCAACCCAAAGCTCTTGAACCGAGTTCACCCATGAAGGGTATTTTAAAGGGATTCCACAAATACGTGTTAATATTCAAGCTCTCCGTATGAATAATGTCCTTTCTGTGCTTCAGGCAAAGCCCTTGTGGGATTTCTTAACAGCTCCGGAACCTACTTTTTATTTATGGAATGGGCTGATACGACATTTGACAAATCTTGCAGTTTTCCAAGGGAGGAAATATGAAAAACACCCAAGCCTTTATTTGTAATGGTCTGCCACCGAGGCTGGGATTTTTGAAAGCCTCTTTCACTACAGACAGATTTACCTTTTTATGTACTTAGGTTTTATTATTATGATTGCTTTAATGGTAGAATTCCAGCAATTCTATAGGGATTCTCCACTCTTCTTCGGAAATGTTGTGTTCCAGTACCCCACTTGACACCAGTTTATGCCCTGCTCCCCCAGTGGTGACTGAAATCTTCTTTTCTCAGTTGATGGCAATGGAGATTCTGGTCATTCCTTCAAGTTTGTGGTTACTTGATTGATTTATTATTTAGTTGTTGTTTTTTTTTGCTATTCTGCATGAAATTAACCCGTTGGGGACATGGTTAGGTTGGTTCACACCAATCTTCTTCAAAACAGGTTGCTAAAACCTTTATCCAGATAATTATGAGTGTCAAACTATCCAAATATATACTCATTTTTAATATATCTGTGTGGATATTATTTATTCAATTCTTTGCACATTACTTATATATATATATTTTTCATTTATTAAGACCCTAATGTGAAATTATTTGATTAAACAATAAAACTGGCCAAAGCTCTGACTCCTCCAGAGCTTTTCTTTCTCCCTGCACCTTTTGAAGGAGGTGAAGTTTTGTTGGAAACTCCAAAAACGAAAAATCCCAGATCAACACAGGCTTGAGGAACATCCGCCAAGGTCGCCCATTGAAATCCTCCGGCGGCGTATGCGTGGAGAGTCCAGCCGAGGCCTTCACTGTAACCTTAGGAGACAGCGTTGGGGGGGGGGGGGGGGCTCCTTCAAAAAATGGACAAGTGGTAGAAGTGGCAGCGAGGAATACATTCAGAATTTTTGAAGCACTTCTTTGAAGGTTTTTGTTGGAATGCAGAGGTTCAAAGAGAAAGATGGAGAGTAGCTTTCTTTTTTTTTATTCCATGACTGCATTTTATTCATTAATGACATCCTGCTGTTCTGACAAGATTTCAAAGACTCACTCTAAAATGTGTCAAATGACTGGCCTTGAATGCTTTTTGGAGGATCTACCACTGGGCCGTATAAATAACGCAGTAGGAGTCTTCCATAAAAAATTCTAACTGCCGAAACTCTTAAAGTGAAAACATTTTCCTCCCTCCTCCCGCTTCCTGTCACTCGTGTTTCAGGTCCTCGCTGGGCGTCATGGAATCTGGGGGTGTTCATGTGCATCCGCTGCGCGGGCATCCACCGCAACTTGGGCGTCCACATCTCCAGGGTCAAGTCGGTCAATCTGGACCAGTGGACTCCCGAACAGATCCAGGTACATGCATACAAACCGCCACCTGTGATGTGAGGGTCAGCTCGGTTGTTTTTTTAATGTAATTTTTAAGTTGAGTAAAAACGTTTTGTACCAACCTCGCCATCGGTGTTGCAACCTGTGCAAGATTAAATATGCAAATTAAACCGCAAGTTAAAAGAGGCTGCTTGGCGGTCCTAATGAGCCGTTAGCTTTGGGCGGATTTAAAGGAAACTGCCTGTTTATTAACTACCACCATGACTCCAGAGGGCAGTTCAGCTTTGGGTGTGGAAAATGGTTCTGGTTGCTCTCAGTCAACTGTATCTAAAATTTTAGAGCCAATGTCAACAAAATGGAATGCTTAAATGAAAAGGAAACATATGGGATTGAGTTTGCAATACACTCTTATCTTAAATTCTTTTATAAAAATCAGTAAAGGTGTAAGAGACTACTAAAATAGTTCACGATTCCTATAATTGAATGAATAAATTATTTATTTTGGATTATGTTTGGCAAACTATTAGATAATTGAATATTGTATATTTGTTAATTTCCTCTGAACAATTAATTTTCCTGTTCAACTCAGTGTTAAAGCACGAAATCACAACAAAGGTCATATCAAGGGATCTTAAAAAAAAAAAAAAAAAACCAAATTAAAATCAAATCAAAACCAGTTAATTAAATTCCATATTACTCTAATACTGGGTAAATTCGATACAAAAGTTACCTAGCTAAGGAAAGCATCCTTGATCCAATCTCATATCTCGAATGTGCACAAGGAAACAGTGGAGAGAAAAAACTCTTGTTACGGAAATAAACCTCCATCAGAACCAGACATTTCGACCAGCTGGGGTTTGATAGGAAGGTCTCCCCCCAGAAATCCAGCGCTATAGAACTATAACTATAGGAAGTTTTAGGGTCACCTGACCAATCCTTACCTTTAAGAATAGGATATGTTACAAAAAGGAACATTTTAATGGTATCCTTAAAGCTACAGATTATGTCGTTCCCGGGTATATTGAAAGCTGTTTCAATAAAAAAGGGGCCTGATAACCGAAGGCTCTGCCTCCCATTCTACTTTTACGTACAGACTCTTGGAGCGATTAATGGGAGAATATCCAACTATAACGTCTTTGAAATATACGGGAGCTTGGTCATTCATGGTTTTATAAGCGAGGATGAGAATTTTAACTGATACCCTGAATTCAACAGCGAACCGATAAAGAGAAGCTAAAACTGGAGTCATATGATCTGTCCATGTAGTTCATCAGAACTCGGGCTGCATCATTTTGAAACCGAAGCCTTTTCAGAGTTTTTTTTTTTTTTTGGGACACTCCAAAGAATAAGAATTACAGTCCTAATTCTGATAAATACACAGACTCTCTGCATCACTCTGAGACAGATTTTTCCTTATTTTGGCTATATTGTCATGGTAAAAGAGGGAAGTCATAGATAACAGTTTTATATAAAAGTTAAATGACAGATTCTTATTAAAATTAACTCCTCGATTCGTAATTATAGTATAATAAAATAAACAGCCAAGCAAACATTTTCCCCAAAAATATTACAAAAAATGTATTCATTCATTCTTTTTTTAATTTATTTATCGGGAACTGTAGCTATCATCAATAGAAATAAGAGCAATAAATCAATCTGGGGGTAAAAGTTAATAAAACCCAAATAAACTTCAGGTTCATACATTATTAAAAGCATTTAATGATCCTGTACTGTAGCCCTCTATTGCGTTTCCGTCTGCCTCCTCACTGTGCCAGAGATGCTGTATTTTGTATGCATTCCAGTGTTTTTCACACACCCTTTCCTTTGTTGACATGCATGTCTGTACCCAGCAGCTGGCCCGTGGAATATCGAGCCACGGCCGTAATTAGATTGAGCTTTTTTTTTCTACGTGTGTAACTAACATGTCACTTTGATTCAGTCCCGGGAATCAATCAGGTGTATATCTGTTCATATCGCACGAGCATGCCAGCAATTCTTTTAATCATCCAGCTGTTAATAGATCCAATTTTTTGTTGCACATCGTTGTCGCATAGAGAGGGAGGGGGGTGCCCATCCGTCAGCTGAGTGTGACTACAAAGGGTCTCACTCTGAATGTTAATCACTGTTTTCAATGACTGATTAATTCTGGATGGCTGATTATTCTGAGTACATCTCCTACAATTCTGCTATTATCGACCCATCCGTCGCCCTCCCTCTTAATTTAGCCAGTGTATTTTGCACTCTGTGTGTGTTTGCGTGCATGGAGAGGGGTCTGTGGTCAAAGGGGGACGCGTGGAAGATTCAGCGTCCTGAAAAATGTTGCCTTTTTCTTGTCGCATTAACGACTCATTTCGTTGTCTTTTTCGCTGTCTTTTAAACCCCGCAGAGCATGGTGGACATGGGCAACTCCAGAGCCAAGCGGCTGTACGAAGCCCACCTACCGGAGAGCTTCAGGCGGCCGCAGACCGACCAGTATCCTACCATTTGTGGCCCTAGGCTTCTACCCACACCGTTTATTTATTTTTTTTTTGTGTACAACTTGTTTGTATTACCGCCGCTGCCACGACGGCCACATACGAACTGCTGCCGTCACGCCACGCGTACACGAACCCCGCCGCTGTCATTGTTCACTGATCTAAAGCCCTCCGCATCACCACACGCAGGCGTAGATTAGCATAAAAGCCCACTGGAACAGCATCCATATTAGTCTGTCTCTGCGAGGGGCTCAAAGCACCATACGCCGAGATATTTTTCTGATATCTCAATGTCACCATCAATGCGCAAAAACGGGCATATATGAATAAAATTAGCTGTAAAGAGGGAGGACACGTCTTCACGTTCAGAGCCGTGTTTTGACTCACTGTCCCGTTAATGCCCTAATGATGGCTCAGCTCCGCTCAAAAATGATGGGATTGGGGATCCGAGCAGCAGTTTTTTTTCATTGCCATGATGATTATGCTGTGTGGAGGAGGACAGTCCTCTTGTTTCAGTTATTAGTATTATTATTAATATTTACCTGTGAAGACATAATTGAAAATAATCCTGTATGCACCAGGTTCAGATGAGCAATATCAGAGGACATCATTCTAAAGATCAAGCTTAGTCTACTGTTTTTTTTATACATTTTCCAAATGTATTTCAAGTGGAACCAAACGATTGTGTATCTGGACTAGATATATTGTTATCTCAATATCAACAATGCACAATATTAATGTCACATATAAATTCTGACTTGAAACAGAGCAGTCCAACGTCATCTTAAAGGAGGTTCTGTTTTCATAGTTTTGAGCTTTTGAATAAACTTTTCAGTCTTTGAATATATACTAAATCCCACACAGACTTCGACCTGGCTCCAGTTCCGGTACTTCAGGTGTTTCTGGAATGCCACAGTAATAGCTTCTTAGCACCTATTATTCTCTTCTTGTCGCTTATGGTCATTTTGGAGATTTTCTCAAACTCCGATCTGGAAGCGTTCATCTCCGCCCGAAGATCAGCAGTGGTCTTCCTTCCGTTTCTGCTCCTTCGGGATCCGATTTGTCTGACATCTGCTTCACTCAAATATTGCTTCCTGCCTCTTTCTTGGCTCACTTTGAAGCTACCACTCTCTGCCACAGACTCCAAAGCACACTTGCCCGTCCTGTCATTTGCACTAAGCTCTGTCTCTTAACATTTTAAACTAATTTCAAAGATGGGGGATTTCAAACCAAATCCCTCCTCTTTGTATCTATATTGCATCCACCTCACTGGGCCTTACTTGATCAGAAATGCATTAAGCAGAACATTCAACGTCTAAAAATGTATATATATTTTTTTAATTCAGAAGTTAAAAAATGAGTTAAATTAAGTAAATAAATATAATTTAGCATCTCAATGAAGAAATAGTGATGTTTTATTATATATATATATATATTTTTTTAAAAGAGTGTATTATAAAATGCATTTATAGCAATGAGAATTATATTTTGCCCTTTTAGATATATTTGATATTGAAAGTCTGTTTTGAAAGAGCAAAAAAGCCTGCAGGTTGTCAACTGGGACCAAATTCACAGCACATATCATTTGTTGGAGATATAATAGATGAATATTCTGAGCCAGTTGAGCCAACCTAAGAACCCCCCCCCCCCTGCAGTGAGCCATTTTCTCTGCTGAGACTGAGAAATTGCTGTATCATTTTCATTATCAAACCTCAGTTTGATGATCCGCACACCCGTAATCATTTCCAGCATCAAATAACGGGCTCGTCACATTAACACCATTAGGCACTTTTACCCCGGACACTTCAAGCCGTGTTTGTGTACGCCGCGGTTACAAGTTTGCCCTTTTTTTTATGCTACAAGACAAGACAGCTGTGTGGTTAACACGGCGGCATATGTTCATATTTCTGCTCGCCGACCGAAATAAATAATCTCAGCCCTGGAAACGCTGCTTCTAATACGCTATCTTGTATCTGGCAGGGCCATTTGTGCGGGTGGTCATCATTCTTCTCTCTTTTGAAGTCCATTAGTCGTTCTGACAGCAGCGCCGCTGGCTGAAAACGGCAGATAACAAACCCAGGATTAGGAGAGCTGCCGCCTCAATGTGTGTGTTTCTGTGTGTATGCCTGCGTTCTTTTTATTTTTTTATTAAACAAATCATTCTGGACCTGTTATCTGCTGCGCTTACATATGGAAATGGCAAAGTATAGCTTGATTTCTCTGCCATATTTACTTAGTTTTCATCTTTTTTTAACAGTGTGTGTGTATTCGGCTTTTTACGCTCGTATATAAAAAAATATATAGATATTTTTCCAACAGCAAATGGCAACTAACTTTGTTATGTTGTAACAGATTGTTTTGAACTTGTTTTTCACACCTCCAAACACCTCTTTTGGGCATTAAATGTCTGTGATTCGGCTCAATACCGCTCTCGACTTGTCACAGACAGAACATCAGAGATTCTAAAACCCTTTTATTGACATGCTCAATTTTTCTCTCACTCCGTAGCAAATCCAAAATAGGAATTCACTAAACTGTTTTTTCAAACGGAAAATGCCAGGCAAATCAAAGTGTGGGAACTGAGTTAAAGTTTTCCACAAGCAGTAGAATTTTGTTGGCTTGGCAATCAAACTTTGTCCTCTAATTTTTCCTTCTTTACTGCAAACTCTGTTTTTTTACAAATCAACTCAGAAAGATTGATATTGATCCTCGAATGCTTACCATATTATAACTTATGTTAGCTTTACACATTTGGAAGACTAATGCGCTCTAATGTTATCATGCTAATTAACTTTAATTAGTGCAATCAGCCTTTGTCTTAAAAAAGAAAGTGTTTTTCTTATTTACTCTGGTGATTGTGTTATCTGACTTTTATATAATACCACATCATAAATGGCTGGGATGGAGTAGAACACAGAAATAACCAAAAGAACAAAAGAATGAAAATAATTAAAGAGACAAGGGATTCATTCATTTACTTTGGCCTTTGTCATGAAATTTGATGTTTTGTTTTATTAACTTAAATCCGTTTCTGCATTTTTAATTCTACAGTATAGCTAAAAGAAATATGGGTAAAGAATAACAATGTTAATTTATGCTAGAAAACATAATTTGGTCTGAGACCAGCATACATAATTGGCTGAAAATTAGAGCAGGCTGAGAGAAGGAAAGATGGATAGATTGGCAGAATGTCTCCTTACGAAATAACAAAACAATGTGTGGGAATTACATAAAGATTCACCTGGACACTCATCAATATCTCAAGAAAACACATGGGCGAGGGAATATTGCAGGATCACTTTATGAAGCACTGAAATATGGTGTTACATTCACATATGTCTAATTTTATTTTAGAAGAAATTGACGATTCCAACAAAAGACAAAACGCACTATCAGACTTTTTTAAGCAGTAAGTATCACAGCCAGGCTCTGTGATGGTATACAGTTCGGTCAGCACTTTAGGTAAAGCTCATTAACATTCTGGTGGCAGAGTTAATAGAAAGCTGCACAATGTCCTGGTTACAAACGCATATCTGTAGAAAAAGAGTGTAGATTTGACTGACCTTATAGCCTATAGCAAACACAGCTACCACTATTTCAAATAACTTTATCTGCTCCATGTGCCCTAGAGTTGATGTTTGTATCCCCTATTAGCACTTCTTTTTCCGGCATTTCATGGCATTGAAGATTGAACTGTAGCTGCTAACTGCTTTTAGGATCTAGGTGTGACGACTTATGGTGCCGTCAAAGAAAAATTAGCTTAGAAAGTGGCTGACAGGAGGCTAGAAAAAAAAAAAAAAAGGATTTGGACACTCTTGATGTGACTGCATGAGTGGATGGTTTAGCAGCTCATAGGTCTTCCTGTACATACCTCGTGCTCCTGAATTATAGAGTGTAATAAATATGAAATCAGCTCAGCTGTAGGATATGTCATCCAGCTCTAACTGGAACAGATCAGGCTCACGTCAAAGGTAAATGATGGGGGTCCACACACATACAGAAGATTTTTCATCAGAATAGCATCCGTCTTCATCTGGCAACTCTGTGTTGGTCATAAGCTATTTGGATCACATTTGCCCACCAAAGGCTTTGGCTCTACGTTTGAGTTGCATGTCCGGTCAGCAGAAATGAGCTTTGTGTTTCAGCTCGGCTCTCCAATCCCATCTCCCCAGTTTCACTGGTGTGGGCGGCCATCATTTTTCAATCTTTTGAGGTCTATTACCCGACCCGATGGAGGCCTCGGTGCTGAAACGGGGAGATAAGAATGCCAGGACCAGAGCCGAGGCTGCGTCATGTTTGTCATGTTTTTGGTGTGTTGTTCGGGCTGGCGCTTCCAGGATTTTGAGCAGTGGCAGGTATCTTAATTTAAATGCGACACCACCTCATGACCAAAACCATTTAGGTTTCACTGGGAGTTGCAACTGTGTGTGGCTCCAAGAAAGACCAGATAAAAAAACAAAACAAAAACATGCCTGCTTTTATTTTGTTACTCGAAGTTCCTGTTTTTTCATTTTTTAAGAAGATGTTCAGCCGTTTCCTAGAATTCAGCTGTAGACTTTAAAATATATTTTTCTTATAATGTGTTCCAGACGTCATAAAGTGCAACAGCAGTTAATTTCTCATCAGTTCAGTCATTTTGTGTTAATCTTCCACTCTGTGGGGAAACAGCCTCTTTACTGTCCCCATAGCAACCAGCTACGTGGTGGAGAAAATCTTTCTTTGGTAGAATAAATCTTGGTCTGACAAAAGTTTTGGGCTTGATCCAGATCAAACTGAATCATGATTTGGTTTGGTAACTGAATCAAAAAATGAATAGGAATGCTTAGAATTTTGGGGGAAATTGAAGTAAAATTGAACTGTTTAAGAAAATAAAGCAACTCTCTCTCACCCCTTAAGATATTTCAAGCACTTTTTCTGTGAGTCATGGAAAATCCTTGAGACCCCCCCTCCTCATGAAATATTTAACCCTATAACGCCTGACTCAAGACAAAAATTGATAAAAAAAATGTATAACCTTTTTAAAAAATCTTGTCTTTTTAAAATTTCTTTAACAAAATGTACAAAAACTAAACAAAAACATTTATATGCGTTTTTAACATAATTTAATAAATGTTTTCAGTGTATTTTTACTATAACAAAGTGGAAATATTCTATATACCATTTTTTTTTTTTCAACAAAGTTTTAATAGATTTCTGAAAATCTGCCTACGATACGTACGGCGTTAAAGTTAAAGGAGTCACAGATTAGGAAGGCGATGAAAATAGGAAGGAATATATCATCTTAAGCACAATTGCAGAGTAAAACAAAACCCTCTTGACTAAAAGGGCATTTTACTGTCTAGAACCATCTACGTTGATAAAGAATATACAAAAACAAAATTTGATTCAGAAATAATTTAAGCTTTTGCCACCTAAGTTTGACCCTAAAAATGACAGAAATGGCGACCAAGTCGAGGCATGAAACTTTAAGTTTGACTTTTTTGTTACCCTGTTGTCGTATGGTTTAGCTAACGTGAACATTTATTAATTTATGTCTCTCTTTTTAATGTCAGTGGTGAGTTGACTTCGTTGTGTGCTGAGCTTAAAGGGACATTCAAATTTTTCTTTGAATTTTAATACATAAAATTCACACATTTGCACACATTGGAGAATGTAAGGATGCTGCCTTTGTCTTTTTGTGAATGGATTCTTAACTCTGACCCTCAGAGCAGTGGAGGTCTTCATCCGGGACAAGTATGAGAGGAAGAAATACTATGACAAGGACGCGGTGGCCACAGCTCCAGTGAGTACTAAACAGACTTAATGTATTTCACAGTGTGAGCTTATTTCCTTTCTGAGACCAGAAGCTGCCTAATAAATGACAGATTACTACTGAAAGTGGTGATATCTTGAAGATAAGGCATTAAAGAGTGCTTGCGTTGTTTGGGGAGCTTTTGTAATGACAGATGAAATGGCGTACTTAAAATATTTAGCACCTTTTCTTTGCCCAAGACCAGTGTTGACTGAACTTTCTTTGGCCTCGATTTTTTTCCACTCGTTCACCCCGTAACGTCAGTCATTTCCTGTGTTTCCGACCTCTTCTGTGCTTCAAGCCATCACAGTATGATGTCTTCTAAGTGTGAAATGCCCCTGAAAGCATTGTAATCCCTTTAAAGCCTGACTGCTGCCCAAACAAACCTGGAACAGAAAAACCTTTCTTTAACACTGTTTTCTCCCTTTACTGGTCTTTTTCCAGTAAGTAGAGATGCCTTTTTTTTTCTTTTTGCTGAGCAGGAAGACAGTGGGTGATTGTGTAGGTGGGTGGGCGTTCATCTCTTTGTGTTGGTTTATGAAAGATTTATTTGTTTTTTAAGTACGGTAATTGTTTGTGTGTGTGTTTTTTTTATGTGCCATTTAGTGGGTGTTTTATATGCTGTGAGTTTTTGTGAAAGTCACAAAAATATGTCAGATCCGTCCACACAAGTGAAATGCTAAATTGAATCTTTTGGAGATTCAGTTAGGCAAAAGTATTTTAGATAAAACAAGAATACAATTCTTGCTATTTTCTTGTTGAACATAATGATGCAGTAGTACTTATGTGAAAGCCAAATGTATAATAGACCTTTGCTTTTAGGTTTTCTGACCATATTCTTTAAAGAACAACTTTGGAGTTCAAATTAGGGTAAAAACTTTGAGCCAGTCAAGCCTTATAGTCATCCAATGCTTCGCTTCAAGGGCTAAATGATCTCTGTTGCTAATCCTGGAGGGAAAGAGGGCTTTTTAGCCCCTGCAATTGAAAGGGTAAGACCAGCTAGTTGGGCTAAATTGGGATCATGTCTTGGAGCTGAGTCATTTTTTTGTTTATAGTGACCAGGTGTGAAACGCAATTCGTGGGAAATCTTTTTCTCTGGAATTCACTAGTCTGATTCATAACTCACCATCTCGCTGTTCGATTGACGACAGGACTACAGATTGGCCGCCGCGGCCTCTTTAATCTGCGGGGGAGTCCGTTCCATGCCTCGGTGAACGGGGCCGCCTGCTAACCGGGAAGCGTGTTCCATTCAGTCCAAAGCTGTTCGCGTCACAGAGCTCAACGGGGTTTTGGATCCTGAAATTTATGCCATTAACCGACTCAGAGACCGAAATGAGAGAAGTATTCGGTCTATCAGCCCCAACTCACATGTTCAGGAAAGGTCTTTCTTCCTGTGATGGCCATTTTTTAAGGATTCTAATTTAAGATGGGACATTTAAATAGTTTGGATTAGAGTTTGACAGCTGCAGGGAACATCTGGGACTTAGAGGAGTAACGCCATATGCTTTACCATTAATAGAAAAACAATCTTGTTCACGGCAGTCCTCCTCTCTTCAGTCTCTGTTTTGTTCCAGCCTCTGTCCTGTAGCTTCCCACTTCCCCCTCTTCCGAATTCCGTTTGTCGGTGCGTGCGTTTCTCTCCTTCCCTCTCGCCTCCCCGCTCTTTCTCTCCGTGCTCTCGTCCTTCCTCTGAAGCGTTGCCAGCAGCGAGACTGTGATCTAGGATCTGTTTCTGCCTCCCGCACAGACGACTCGGCTTTTATATGCAAATTAATTATTAAAAACAACTCATTATCACTTTTAGCGGTTTCATGGAGATGGAGAAAGAAGAGGAGGGGGTGGGTTACAGTAACCCTGAGCTATACTTTTTAAATATGGATGTGTGTGTGTATTGGATCTAGACAGACTACTGTGCTCGTCTTAAATATTAATTTTACACTCCATTACAGTCACATAATTACTGTATTACATTTGTTTACCTGCAAGTTTGGAAGGTATTGTACAAAAACTGGATATGGTGGGTATTACAAGATGATGAGTGGGACTGCTTTTATAGTATATTTGCAGAAATGTTCATTGTGGGATTAGTTTTTGGTTAAAAAAAAGCATTTAATGTTGGTTGAAAATTGAGATCCTTTCACATTTCACAGGTTACACCTGGATAGTCTTAGGAGACTTTTTAAAATTGAATACCACTGACCATCCAAAAGGGAAAAAGCCATAGGAGAATCCGTCCACCATTCCACGTTCTTTAGGATTTGCAGTCACGTGGAAAAAAACCCAACAACTTTATCTTAATTCCAGCTCAGATGACGAATATCTGTGAGTATGTTTGGAAATGCTGAAATTCTGCAATTTGTTATTTTGGTGGATGCACCAGTTTGAGCGTCCCAAAACATGCATGTTAGGTTAATTGGACACCCTGAATTGACCATAGGAGCGAATATGAATGGGAGTGTGTGTGTGTGGTTATTTGTTTCTGTGTCCCTGTGATGGACTGGCAACCTGTCCAAAGTTTTCAGCCCTCCCCCACGACCCTGTTGGGATAAGTGGTATAGAAAATGGATGGATGGATGGATGGATGGATGGATGAACATTCAGTTGTGCGTACATCAAAGGGTACATCAGAGTGTGTGTACAGCCCATCAAGTTGTTAAAGTCCCTCACACTGTTTGGAATGTTATGCCATGTAAGTCATACTCTTAAAAGCTTAGATAGCACTGTCTAGGTTTGCAAAGTCGTGTGTAATGTTCTTCTACCATGACTTTGGGAAGGAGAAAACCAAAGTTTTTTTTCCACATGAATTGCGCTTTGTAAAGATTGATGAAAACCAAACACGACGTAGCACATCAACCCTAAAACTGTGATCAATCACGGCGGCGGAGGGCTGGTTATTTTGGCTCGTTCAGCAACCACAGGACCTGGGCCCCCTGTCCTTGAGTCGACCATTCATCTTCATGTCAAAGTGTTCTTGGGTCAAACCTGAGGTCACCTGTCAAAAAAAAAAGAAGAAGCGCGGCTCAGATTGGGTTATTCAACAAGACAGAATGGCAAAAGAAAAGATTAAGAATTTGCATTAAGTCTGACACAGACATCAATCTGACTGAAATGTTGGGGTGGTGAGACGTTATTTGATAGATACCCAAATAACTGATGTACAGAAGAATAGGCCACGCATTCTGAGGTTTACTTCAAAATGTAGCCGCTAAAAAGTAGTTTTAAAAAAATTTTCAATAGAATACAACAGAACAGAAAAATACTTTTATGGTTCCTCAGATGGGGTAATTCAAATAGCTCAGTTAATAAAAGATCTGCAACATCTTACTGCAAACGATGAAGGATCTTAGCTTCCGCTAAGTCTACAGTATTATCTAGAAAACAAAGGTATTATATTCTTAGACTACTTCCTCTTCTTCTCCCATGATGGAAATAGGGGTTTGATCGAACTCTGTTCCCCCTGATATATACAGTTATCTCCTTGGTTATGTTCACATTTAAGGTAAGGTTTTTGAGAAGATGCTGACTCTCCTATCCATATCAATGTCTATTTCCTCCTCCCCTAGCAGTACAAACAGGACTGTGACATCATAGCAGTCTCTCAATGCATCTTTCACCTCCGGTAACCACTTACTGAAAGATACGGTGGTAACGGGAAGTCTTTGTACACGGGGTCTGTACGCTGGAGATAGGCCATGTTGTGATAGGCCATGTTACAGGGAAGATGCATCTTCTCCTCGTAAGCCTCATTCACACTGTGTTTATTCATTTTTCCTCGTGTTAGACAGTTCACTTACTGTGCAAAAGCAGTCAGATACGAAGACCGAGAGAATTCTTGAGGGTACTGAGTCTTGTATCCTAGCAGCAGCATCAACGATGATGTCATACGTCGTTGTAGGCGCTGCCCGTGGTGAAATGTAAACAGTGATGACGACTATGTATAGGGATAAAGTTTAAATGAGTAATTGGTACATTCAATTGAAATAATTTGAATGAAAATTGTGGTATGCAGTTATTTTCTTTGCACACAGCTTCTGTGTGTTGCCTTAGTTTTTGTTGAGTGAAAAGGAAATGCTGTATTAGGTGTTTTTGTTCATCAGGGGATTTATTTTGAGTTCTAAAAATCAATCATGTCACAATGTTTAAAGCTAGAGAAGCAACTAGCTTCTCTAAGCCGGTGACCCACTAGTCACCAGCATTGGCTGCACATTAATTTGGGGTGGATGGCTGTCAACATTTCTTAGCAGGAAAGCAAAGACAGGAAGACAGGTTTCTACGCTGAAACCATCTGGATTAGCATTTGCCTTTCCCTCTATGCTTGACTGTGGTTCCCTGCATAAACTACAAACTAATCAATACATGGTGCCTCTCACAAAAGTCATGCCTTTTCTCTAAATTCTTATAAGTTAAAAAAATTATAAGAAAAATATTAATGTATCAGTATTTTTAATTGACTAAAGTTTCAAAGAGAGTAAAACTTAAAAACAGTTTTCCTGAAGCTGTGGAAGCAAAATGTCTTTTCCTTTTATCGCCATAGCAGATATGAATAATTTTTCTGCCAGATTACTAGTATAGTTCCATAAAAAAAGGTTTTATTGGCCCTCATGGCCTTAATTTACAGTGGTATGATAGGAAGGGGGACAGAGGGAGAGCAAATGATAGCAAATAAGCCATGGGGTGGAATCTAACCCAGGTTCCCTGCAGAAGAGGAGAACCTCTACATGGTCTTCATGCTCCACCCAGTGAGCTAAACGAATGCCCAGTGTGTAGTGCGGTTTTAAACACATGAACTAAGCCTCAAGCAGCTTGAATCTTTTTCTTTGTAGTTCTTTGATGTAATGAGAAAGTTCTGCCCGTGAAAAATGTAACCAATTAAAACGGTCACTGATAGGGCAAAGATTTGGGTTAGCCTAACCACAAACATAAAGAACTCAGACTTTTTTCCCCCCTCCTCTATTAATTTTTCCTTAACCGGGTAGTGTTTGGTTTCTTATTTATTGTACGACTGCTGCTGCCCGCGTTCTTCTACACCGGCAAAACTACGTCTAATTCTACGTCCTATTGGGAGGCTGTTGGGGTTCCCCTGTCTTAAGTCTTTATTTTGTGTTTCCTGATGCTAGTGGTGTGAGTAGAACTAGTTGGGGGCCTTTCATTCTCATCGTTCCTGCACATCAATTTGACTTCAGAAAGCCCTTTGAGTAGAAATCTCACATTAGAGACGAACATCTAAACTGTTGAACTAAAAAAAAACAGATTAAAGTACTCCTGGTTTTGTGAGCAATGTCTTTTTTTTCTCATTTTGTATTGGAATACATACAGTTCTTAAGACAAAACCCCTCCTTCCACTCCGTTTAGATATTAATCAATAAAAGTATACTTGCTGATGCAAGGTTGAATACAAGTTTAAGAACTACAAAGATTTTAAAGTGCTGGCTCTCCGTTTCTTGGTGCGTTTGAAACCAATGATGAGAAAGCTTAGAGTGACAGGTGCTGTTATGTAACAGACCTCTTGTCGTACTTTATTCGCTGTGAAGTACGCCGGTGCACTCCGTTTTTCTTCTGCCCGTGTAGTAGGCTTTCAATGTCCTGTCACAGATGAATTAGCTGGCGGTATCTGTTTGTGTGCGTGCACGGCGTCTTAGTTTAGCTAGTAACTCGAAACAAAACAAAACATCAGAGTGCATCTTGAAAGCCACCGTGACGAGTCCTCTGATTGGCCCAAAAACGTCACAAGAGAGCAGTAAAGTTGCCCCAAAAAATACAAGGAAGACCAATCTACTGTCATTGGAAAGTAGATTGGCATAGCAAATTAGCTTGATGTTCTTGAGTGACTGCCTGCTTTAATGGGCCTATGATCAATAAACAATAATCACATGTTTGAGTTTCTGTCAGATTTCGTGGTCAATTGAAAAATGTGAAATTTTAAATTAATTGGAAAAACCCAGGGTTCATTATTGCAACTCTTTTTTTTTTGTTCAGCTACAAATCAAACTTAACACCAGTCGATTAGATTTGAAAATTGAATAAGTGGACAGTAAGTATGCAGCATTACCCCCAAAACTACAGAGAAATACACTATTCAGCAACTTCTACTAAGGATGGTGGTGAGTGCAGAAGTCTGTTCACTCATTTTTGAGTGCTGGCATGAATCTAAAAGACAAAGAATGAATTTTACTTTCAGACAATTTTGGATCAAGGATTATGACCTTTGAAAAATGTTCAACATTTTGTCTTTTCTTATCAATATAAGATAATAGACAGTTTAAAGGTGAAGGACGGAACTTGTTTTCACATGTAAACCGACTAACAGTTCTTAGCTTAAGACCACCTTGCTTTTTGTTGATTCATTACTTTTTTCCCTCAAGATTTTACCCTTTTAGAATAAAAAAAAAAAGTATGTTTACAAGGTAAACTGTTCATCGACAAACTTTATCCACAGGTAAAGTTTATTGTCTGTTGTTTATAAATGGATCTGCTCGCTTTTGTATGTTCGTGCACTGCAAATGGATTAAATTGCTCCCGCGGCATTTGTTGAGGATGATTTGTTTACTTTTAATCTACGGTTTTAGATCGAAATCGTAAAAGGCCCAGGAGAGCTCAAAACTCAAACACAACTCTCCTGTAGGAAACTGGACAGCGTTCGGCAGAATTTCCTTTTACTTTTGTCGCATAACCAGCGAAAAATGATTTCTATGGGGTGTTCACGTCACAAAAAACCCAGGACGTCTTGCCCTTTTGTAACGCAAGTGCCTTTGACAATTTGACGTCTGTCATGAAAGCGATTCCACATCATAAAGCTCCCGTTCACTCCCCTTAGCACGTTTCAGTCGAACACTGCGGGATCACAGTATGTTGCCGTTCAAACACCCGGCGCCACCTCCCAGGTTCTCTAATTCTCTTTTTTTGTAAGACTCCGTGTGACTATTTCTCTCCCCTCTGCAAGGGTCCACTTTAAGGATACAAATGAAGCTGTTAGGGGATCTACTCAGCGGGCACATTTCGGGTTGAGACGTCAGCCATCTTTCTCTCTCATTATCAGCAGAGAGCCAGACACCTCTATCTCCAAGTCCTAATATCTATTCAACCCCTGTTCATCCTCTGTCTCTCCCAGCTCACAGCACTCCTCTTGTTATCCAACCTCCTTTTTTATTCCCCCTTCTGCCCGTATCTTTTCACTCCCCTGCTCTTACCCTCCTTCCTCTTTATCATCAGTTCATCAGCCCAATCTTCGCCCGTTTGGCGCTGCGTCGACATCTCCGACAGCATCAAAGATGGAAGAGGGGAGAGAGAGGCCTTGACGGAAGGGGGATAAAACCCACAAAAAAAAAAAAGCTGAATAAGTAGGGGGAGAGGTGGAAAGTGCTACGAAATTCGCTTCCCAGCCGCTCTCCTTTCACCAGCACGAGCAGCAAGAGCGAGCTGTCGTTTGATGCCTTAACAGCTGAGGCGGGAGGGAGAAGGGTGGAAATGGAGTAAGATGAAAAGCAGCGAAAAGTGTTTCTCTGTTCTGCCCTCGGAAAGTCATACAGTAGTCAGCATTAGTTTCCGCCCCGAGGTGGTTTAGAGAGCATAGGAGGAGAGGACAGCAGCGAGAGAAAACGAAAAGGAGGTGGGCTGATGTTTAACATGTAACCCTTTTTCTGTAAATGTATTTTTTCCCCTGGCAGCTTTTAACATGAACATGCCAAATAGTGCTTGATGCATTCCTTTTTTTTTTCATCGGCAGTGTAGAATGGGATTTTTGTGCAGTTCCAGACAAGTCATGCATTATTTGAGTGTCAGATTAAAAAAAAAAAAAGAAACCATTTCTGCCTATGCTTAGTTTAATCACGACCGAGGACTCTATTTCTGGTGTTAAGAGCAATTTGGCTGTCATTTTCACATTCCGATCACACAGGTTTTGGCCCTGTATCTGCTAAGAGAAGTAAAATAGTCTTTTTCTGCACTTTCACAAATTAGATAAAGCTTTCATAAAAAAGATATATTCATGACTACATCATCTTTAGACTAGTTCAATCCAGATTTGAGCAGTCTAACCGTTGTATATTTCATAGAGGACCTAATCCAGGGTGATCAGCATGGGGAAAAATGCAGTAAAATGTTAAGATTTCCCCTCTCAACATTATTCACAAATCAGGTTCATCTTTCGTAAATCCTACATAAGACATTACAGAATATACAGTTCTTTTAGAGTGATCGTATAGATAGATTTGAGAAGTCTAACTATAGTAGATTTCATACAGAACAGAAACGTGTGTTACAATCATATAAAAAATACACTGACTTGCACGTAACTTTAATAGAAGCTGTAAATCAGAGGCTAAATTGAGCTAAATTAGGAAAACATTGTAATCATTAGATGGGACACACATTGTATTAAATTTTTTCTCTTAAACAAGCATACTTTTGAAAGCCTGATATAACAACCAGCGCCAAAACTAAAAGAAGCAACGCTTTGTTTTTGAACACTCGATTGCGTATGTCTTACTGTAACTGGGACTTTTTTCTTTCCTTCTTCTCACTTTTTTTGCAGTCAGAGTTATATTTATGGGGCAGAACTACTGTACCTCTTAAAGGAATTACAGAAATTCACAAACATTGACAATAAACTTTGGCAATAGGACCACAGTTGCAATTAAGTTTCTGAAAGTGGACTTTTGCTTCAGAACAAGTGTCTGTGTGTGTGTGCGTGTATACTGTATGTGAGTGTGTGTGTGGGGGGGAATTTAGAATTTCTGCTGGTCAGAGACATTACAACACGTTTTACCCCCTTTAAAGTTGTTTTTGCAGTTCATGTTGCATAGCATGATGACGTTCACCAAAATGAAATATTCCTAAACCGACTTTTTATCTGTGTATGCCTTTAGAAACGTCAGCTACATTTTCACCTCTTTTTTCCACAGGCTGATGATTTTTTTTTCGTTATTGTGGACCTTGATGGTGCTTTTCTACCCATCCATCGATAAAAGAATTAGCACTTTGTATGCGCTGCCTGTCCATCAAAAGGCCATCTTCTCAATCCTTTAGTGACCGGACCACTTTGGGATCTTTTTTGATGTAATTCATCTAGAGACGGACACAAATCTTTGGGGTGATAGCAGAGGCTCCGGAGCATGTACAATAGCAGCAAACAGATGGCAAACATCAATAAGAGGGAGATAAAGACAAGGACAAGGTAATATCAGAGGTGTGTGGAGCTAAACCTGCCAGCCAATGACAGGCGGGTCCTGGGACGAGCTTTGTGGCGAAGTGGCTGACTGGATTGGACGGCCACGGGTCTTGAAAACAGATCGAAAATGGCAGTAATTATCGTAGGGCTTTCATTTGTCGTTGCCCGCCCGCTTTCAAGATAGTTTTAATGGGTGCGAGGTAATAAGAAAGCATTAGCGAGGCTTTTCTCGCTCGCTCGGTTTGAAGGTTTGTGCCTCGGACGTGAAGGCACCACGCATGCAAATCAAGGAGAGAGATGTGCACCTCTCTTAAGTTTCCCCTTTCTCTCTTCATCCAGTTTTCAGATATTCCCTTTCCACCACCTCTGACCGTGTACAATATATCCTGAGCTTTCCACCTCACGCGAGGGACGCAAGCCGCTCTAAACAATAACCTTAATGTGCTCTGCAGATATTTGTTTGGGGACGTTTTTCTTTATGGTTTCAACTGGACGGACATAACATTTCAAATCCGTCCCCGTAACCGGAGATTTTTACGATGGATTCGTTTAGTCTGCGTGTGCCCCGTATTGTGTCCTGTATGGTTGGCTCCGGAGTGATTAATAGCCTGTTTTTATACGCCATCATCTGTTATATCACCTCGCTTTCGGATGTGTGTTATACCGGCCGTAAATAACTTCCGGGCCTCATGAATATACCCAACCTTGACCCAGATGCGCCATCACTCACCGACACCACTCGGAATTGTAAGATAAGGTAACCTGGAGGCCCAGGTGTCGGAATTTAGGGGATTTTCTATACACACCGGCCAATAAGACATTTGGTGCGCAGACTTGGTGGTAGAAATGTGAAGTTTCACTCTGATGAATCACGAAAGAGAGAGTGAGAGAGAAAAAAAAAACAATGGGCTCTGCTCATAGTCTGTCTAAGAGGTCAACAGCAAGTTAATGGAGGCCATCTACCCGGCCACAGTGTGTTTAGGGGTATGACAGGTCCTTTCAAAGCGCCATTCCTTCTCTCTGGTAGCAGGGAGGCTGAATACAAACTTAGTGTAGCCGAGAAAATCCCCCTTCATTCCCTCTAATTAACTCGCCGCTCGCTCTGCTTTACTCTTCTCCACCCCACGCCTCGCTCTCACTCTAAACTCCCGTCTGTCTTTTTCTTTCTCTCTGGCTGTTCTTATTTTTTTTTCATCTCTATGTCCATGTCTAACTCTCTCTCTCTCTCTCTGGTTCTCTGTCTTCCAGAAGTCAAGTGAAGGCCCCCCGCCCTCCACCTCGCCATCCTCCCAGGCCGACAGGAGCAGAGCAGAGGTGCTGGTTTCCTCTCTACTCTTTATAAGTGATGTCCTTGTTTTTTTCCAGTGGCCTTGTTTTCTTTCGCTGCCAGTCTGGCACCGTCTTCACACCCTTGAACTCGTGTTTCGTCGAGACACGCGGGTCAGCGGAAAGCAGCCGCGTTTCTCTTCCGGCCTAACAAGGACGTCTTTTGAATTCAATTTCACACCACAGACGGTTATTTGAAATTACACGGGACTTCTCCGTTGGCCTTTAAAGAAATCGGCCAAGAAAAGAAAACCAAAACGAGATAGGAAATGAATATATAGTTAATAACTTATCGCTGAACATGTTTTATATTTTACAGAGTGGAAAAACAGGCAGGCCAGCCTAAGCCAAATCTTCAAAGTGCTTTGGGTTTTTACAGACTGAGTGAATTATGACACTTAAGGACTTCCAACTGATTCCACTTTAAACATCACTGATGGACCCCGTAAAAAACACTTCAATAAAATACGTTCGTTTAGGGAAGGATAGCTGCTAAGAATCCAAAATCCAATAACACCAGGAGCACGGGGACTGATAGAGGAGCCGAGTCATACTCCATGTGGGATTTAGGACAATTTTAGAAGACTGATGGCACAAAAGTTTCATCCAGAGGAAGTGTGTGGGGAAAGCCAGAAACTCTGTGGAACTGAATAAGGAGAGAAACTGTCAGAAAGTAGATAAGAGTAATCTAAAAGGGAAGCCATCATTAATACCAAGGGAGGCTGTGCAAATTAATTTTATTAAATTTTTTCAGTTCAGTCCAGGTTTTTATGTGAAAAATATCAATTTTATTCTTTATGCGTGTCGTTTGACAAATGATTAATTATAGCATTTTTTGCTCTAAACACGTTTTTGAAAAAGTAGGAAAAAAAAGAAGATTTTTTTTGTATTTGTAACAGGTGGTAAAGCAATGTATATACCAAAAACATCTTGAATTATACAGTGCAAGAGACACAAAAAATGTTATATTGTTGGCAAAGGCAATTTCTATGACTATGATTTAAGTTTCACTGACTATAATGATATAACTTGGACAATTATATGTAGCTACAGTATCAGACAAAACTCAAGTAGATGTTAGAAGAAAGTTGATGTAAAGTATTAGTCTTCCATGTAATCCTGGAACTAAATTGCATGTCCTTTAAATCTGAAGCAACCTCCTAAACATCGAATAAGCTATAACCCAGAAATGTTTTTAACCACTAGCAAATGTTACATAGTTTAACCCGACATAAAAGGACGTTTGTCCATTTCTTGGTGAAATCCAGTCCGTGTTGGAATATTTTAATATTTCCCAGTGTCTTGTGTTTTGGCAATAAAAAGTCAAACACAAGAAGTTTAAAGGAGAGATTCTAGGTTGATTGCACAAATGGAATAAATTGGAGACAAATTATAGATAAATTATAGCTTGAAGATGAGGTCACAAAAACCTTGAAAAAATTGAGTTAACATAAAAAGCATTGGCATTTTAATTTATCTGTTTATTTTTTTATTGTTATTATAAATCCGACTGAGGATTGTAATATTGGAGCTACTTACACAATTATATATATTTTGTTCCTAAGTGCACAATGACCAAAACCTAGCCTCTCAGTAAGTATTTTATAGAGTTAAAACATGTCGATTCAGAAAGGTCATATCTTGAAGAATTATAAAGTGCGCTAACAGCTGCTGGAACAAACGGGTATTTCTCATCTTTATCTGTTTTCAAAAGAACCCCAATTCACCCATTTTCTCTTATGTTCGGAGCACTTTTATAGTCTTGCAACCTTCGCCCAATTTCTTTATTTATTTCCGGTATAATGCATCAGATTCAC